AGCATGTACAGATGCCATAATTAAAGCTCTTTATTACAAAGTCATCAATCTGAGCCCATCTTATTTTCAACCAAGAAATTGTGTGTGTATTTGACTTTGGAAATGTGTGTCTTTTTTAACTTACTCTGTGATGTTGTCTATTTCAAACTTGCTGTTATAGTAGGCACTCTTGTGAGCTTTGAACTCTTCTTCAAACGTATCACCATCCTCCTGATCAGAGGAATCTGTGGATAAACAAAAGTTCTCAGGCAAGTTTTTATTAATTGAAGAAATCACAACATGCCAAACACTACAACTAACTTTCTTGTGACATGAACAAAATGAGGCATTAACCACTTGCTGCCAGGAAACCCCATTTTGAGCACCATGGGTTTATACGCAGAGCCGGGGTGCCCGAAATGGGACAAATGAGCTGGTCCGTGTAACAAAAGACCGTACTCTGAACAAAAGACCTCACAATTCTGGGCTCTCTTTACAGGGCAGCAGGCCTGGCTGAAATACTCAGGAGTCAATGAAGATTGCCTATGAGCTTAGAGTAGCCACCAAACACTCATTCATGTGGGTGTAAATGTCAATTCAATGAAATGATGACGTTTTGAAGAATTTTGAAAACTGAAAATCTTGAAAACCACCCGTATGTGCACACTACATTTTTAAAAGCATCCGGCAGCAAGTGGTTACGTTCGATTTCGTAAATACATGTACATCCATTAAGCTCCTCAGACTTATAGTTTGGACGGCCATGCAAGCCAGTAAGTATGAATAAGTAGTGACCCAGGGTTAAGTACACACAATGTACTTATACGTACATTCAACATGTTGGTGTTATGGTGCACCTTTATCAATAAGTGCGTTATGTTGTGCACTGCACCGCAAACCATACAGATGAGTTTATATGCTTGAGGGTCATGGAGGCCAACTTTGATCGCTAGACAAAAAATTCATGTATGACCACATTTTTCCTGTTTTTGTGGATGTAACCATCAAAATTTCAAAGAGACATCCCCCCATTTTCTTGTACACTGATCGCACTGAACAACTACATACCTGCATCTTGACTTGAGTCAGGTGACTGACCAGCGACCTCTGACCCAGAGGCCAGCTTGAGACCCATCACTTCATCAAAGTTGTCCAGCAGAGCATATTGGTTGGAGTTGGCCTGCACAGGTCAAGATCAAGGTTGAACACAGCATTGCCAGCGAACTCAGCAAATATAAATGGACATTTTACAGTTTTAAAACTTGTTTTCCATATAACAGATTTCTGTCTTTGTATAGAAATACTCTTAAAGTTTCTCAGAGGCTTTTGCACTGAAACGAGAGTAAAACCGTGACAAAAGCTGTCTCTCTACCTTGGCAGCGCGTCTTTCTTTCTCCTTTTCTTTTTTGGCTTCTACCCGGCTGCTTTTCCAGGCTCTAATGTCCGTCTTCCCAGCAAAGAAGGAAAGGTCGGAAAATGTCTCCTCAAACTTCTCCCTGTCAAACTGAAACACAAAAACCACGGTTATGACATACATATAGTACAGGTTGAATGACAGTCATGGCATGGTTGGCAATGAAACGCAGGTTATCACATGGATCCTGTTGCAGCGCAAGTCAGGATACGGTTGACGTTGACACATGAGTCATGACATGGTTCATGATGTAGCAAACATCATGACATGGTTGAAGCTGAGAAAAAGGCCATGGCTTGGTTGAAGCTAGAACAAAGGCCACGGCATGACTGAAGCTGACACAAAGGCCACGGCATGGCTGAAGCTGACACAAAGGCCATGGCATGGTTGATGCTCACACAAAGGTCATGGCATGGCTGAAGCTGACACAAAGGCCATGGCATGGCTGAAGCTGACACAAAGGCCATGGCATGGCTAAAGCTGACACAATGGCCATGGCATGGTTGATGCTGAAACATTAAAGGCCACGGCATGGCTGAAGCTGAAACAAAGGTCAAAGCATGGTTGATGCTGAAACAAAGGCCATGGTTTGGTTGATGCTGAAACAAAGGCCATGGCATGGCTGAAGCTGAAACAAAGGCCATGGCATGGTTGAAGCTGAAACAAAGGCCATGGCATGGTTGAAGCTGAAACAAAGGCCATGGCATGGTTGAAGCTGAAACAAAGGCCATGGCTTGGTTGATGCTGAAACAAAGGCCACGGCATGGCTGAAGCTTAAATACAAGCCATGGCACGGTTGAAGCTGAAACAAAGGCCATGGCTTGGTTGATGCTGAAACAAAGGCCACAGCATGGCTGAAGTTGAATACAAGCCATGGCTTGGTTGATGTTAAAACAAAGGTCAAGGCATGGCTGAAGCTGAATACAAGCCATGGCATGTTGACAATGAAATACAAGCGATGTAGAAGTCAAGACCTTCACGTTTTGACACTGCAACACAAGTTGTGACTTGGCTGAAGTTAAAGAATAGAAGTCGTAAAACTGTTGACATGGTAGGGCTCATAGCTCGATACCTTTGGGATAACCAACTCCATGAAAGCCACATCATTCCATTTGTATAAAAAAGAGAGAGGAGGGAACCAACCTTGGATAGATGGACCAGGTATTTCTCAAAACGGGGCAGGTTTAGTGTCCCGTGCTCATTGATATAACCTGCAAGAAAAAATCAACGTCACTATGTAACATTTTCAAGTCAAAATTCTATCAAATAAAGGCCAGCATTAAATCAGCATCAAGGTCCAAAAACTGCAAAATGGCCTCACTCATTAGCAGTTCTTTCTACTCTCATATCTCTGCATTGAAAGCTGAACAAACTTCTGACATTCAAAAGATCTGATTACGGAAAAAGTCTGGAAATTCCTATACCTGATGTTACTATTTAAGAAACAGAACAATAACATCAGTTTGATTAGAAGCTTTACGACAAGGTGTAGACACTAGTTTGCTGATTGAATATTAGGCATACGGCTATGGCTGAAAATAATATGTACGGCAATGGAAGTCCCTGGCTAGCGGCTGCAACAACTTCCCATAGAAGTGCGCATCACAGCTAGATGCAGCCAGCTGATATAGACATAGCCCTAACTTCCTCCGAACTTAACCATCCAAAACTTCCCCAGGAGCCAACTTGATAATTGCAGTGACGTACCACCAAGCGAGGGCAGGATCTCGATGTAGGCCTTGAACAGCATCGGCAGAGCATTGTGGGATATGTGCATATCAGGCAAGTGAGGGATGAAGTCGTTACCGACGAGATATCCCATGAGCACCCAGTCGTCGATGATGCATTCCACATCAAACCAGTCGATTTGCGGCTAAAGATCAAATTAACAGTTCAAACAAAAGTTTGGATTTTGTTGAAACCCACGCAAGCAAAAGAGACTGAAAGAAAACATACACATGCCTCAGCCTTAACGGAGATCAAACCTAGAATAATTGGAGTCAGAAGAGAAAAAAAGACCCAACACACCGACCTGGAACAGTGTCCGGCTGGGACAGCCTTATGGTTCTGTGATTGTTAGGAAAACTTAAACTGAGGGTGGAAGACGTTAGTGTGTCCCGACACTGTTCTTGGTCCCGATAACAATCGTCATACAATACGTGTGGTTCTCACTCCAACAGAACTAGACTGTGCGAGCTACATGTATATGCATACATACACATATACAATGAGGGGCTTTATTCCATTCTCAAAACAAAGACACTACGGAATTGTCCAGGTACGCAGCTGATCCACAGTTGGAAAGTGGGTGAACATGTAAAAAAAAATCAATGTGATTTTTTTCCAAACAAAGTCAAGTTTAAGTAACAGGTTTGTGAGGGGCTTAAATCTTGTTTCCATTATCTTGGTATGACATGTCCGCATTGTATTTATGCAAAATACCAAGTCTACATCCCATTTTTTGTTTTCAAGTGATTAGAAATCCCAAGTTATGTGCAATTTTTCCCAAAGCATTCATATTTTTTTTAACAGATTCCTGTCCAGTGTCCAAATCTGAGAACTTTTTCCAATAGTAAAATGGTCATACACTAACAACAGCTGCCATACATGTAGGCATATTTGAATCTTGTAGGCATAATTGTGCAATCGTATATCTATATGACGACATGACTACCATTTTTATGTGTCTCTAGGAATTCTTTTTGGGTCTTACCTTGAGTGCACTGAACTCAATTTCCAGGTACTCCCTCATTAGAGACAAGTGCAAGAGGTGAAAGGTCGTCTCTTCTGGGGCTGTAGGTCGCTTCTGATTGGCAATCTTGCCGAATCGCACCTCCTCGCGGAGAAGGGAGAAGTGAGGTTCATGGGATATGAGGCCCAGTATGATCTGCGGCAGGGCATAACAGAAATCAAAATGATCCTAAAGGCTTTGACCGATCATGATATGGCAGAACAAATGAGCTGTTTCATTGACATAAATTCAGTCTGAGAGTCATAGGGTGGGATTTTTCTATTCAACTCCATCACAAGTCTTTCAGAAGTTATTCAGTCCCAAAGTTGAGTCAGATGTCAATCAAACAAGATGTGACAAGGGCACTAAGGCCTACTGTCATGGTGACAAGATCTTCTAAAACAGTACTTACATGTACAATGTACATGTAGATTTGTTGATTTAGAATGTAATACATAATTATTGTAACGGACGTCTGGCTGCCCAGGAAGTATCAATTACTGTCTGTTAACACGTTTACATGAACCGATACCGGTATGTACCTGATATTTTAAATCCTTTTGTATGGCTTTGTTAAAGAACTGATGGTAAGAATTTGTTGCGTCAAACTTTAACAGTGTTGACTTCTTTTTACAGTCAAGGGTCTCATCTCAACTCAATGGACCAGACTGAAGAAACTAAAGCTGGTCCATCAATGAAACAAAAGTTGGGAAACTCTCCCAAACCTACATTTTCTCTCTGAAGCTAGAACAAAAAACGGCAACCTACCAGGTCTGCATCTAGGCCGTAGAGGCAGTGTCTGGTGTTAGGGTCATAGTCCTTTCGAACTTTCTCTGAGCGTATGAAGTCCATAATCTTGTGTTCCCCTTCACCAGGAGTCTAATAGCAACAGAAATAATGACTAATCATCGATCCTCAATTGCCAACGAAACTGGTTTGTCAATATCCATTTATCAATAACACCTGATGGTCATATCGGTAAATCAGATCTGAGAGTTGCATCCCACACAGAAAAAAAATACATACCAATTCAATGCTCATGTGATGCCATGAACATTTGCAGTACAGAGTGCTGATTTAATTTTTATTAGGTCAGGTTGTGTGGGATTTGGGGAGCTTAGATTGGTTTCAGGTTGGTTTGGACTATTTAACCCAACTCGATACACAATACTAGTTCACTGCATGAATGGCTATTGCCCATATATGTCCTGCATCGTTAAATACCTCGTGCCCTGAGAGGTAAACTGTCAGCCCTTGCCACATGGGATCCTTGGTCAGCTTCTGCCGCACAAAGTACTTCAGTTGCTCTTGGAGGCGCACCATGAAGGGCGTGCCGGGGGTGATGCAGTTGGAGTCAAAGCGCTTCTCGGCCGGCAGCGTTTCCCCCTTGGCAAGGGCCTGCCGCTCCCGCTCCTCCGCCTCCCTGGCTGAGCGGAACCGCCTCCCCCGCTGCTGGTTCATCTTGGCCCTGGGGGCCACGCCGTCCACCGCCATGAAGAACACCTTACGGGGCTTGATGATGCGAAACAGCACCTGCCCAGACAACCATCCATAATGGGTCTACAAATTTGCAATTTTGGCTTTTATACAAACCACCTCAAAACTCATCCAGCACAAATTGCGGACAAGTTTCAGTGAAAACATTCATTTCACCCACGAGCATGACAAGAGGCTCTGCATTTGTCCCCAATGTGTTATCCAATAAAACTCATCAGCAATTTAACAATAAAGGCTCCCACAACAGGTGGCCCCATAGGAAGTGGTGTTCAACATCCTAGTGAGAATGAGCATTGTACACGGGTGAACAACGTGGAATGTTCTTCTTGATACACACTGTGCAAGATCCCTTCTACAGCTCCCAACTCACACCACGTTCTGGGGAATGTAGCCTACATGTACATGTAAATGTATTTGGTCAGGGTACATGTAGATCACCTACTGCTACATTTAACCAACAGAATCAAACAGTCAAGCAGATACCTCAATGTAATGGAATATGGCCTCAAAGATTTGCTCTTCAGTGATGCGGAAGTGGACATCTTCATCATTGGGATGCGAGCACGGGTGGATGATACCATTCATGTCCAGGTAGAGATTATCAAATTCAGGAATCTGGGAGAGGGAATCAAAGTCAGATGGCTCACTTTCTTTCTTTTTCTCACATTTCCCTTAGCCTTGACTTTTATCAACTGCTTTAGTCTGGCAACCAGTAGGTCCTAATGTTAAAACCCATTTGGGGTAGCCATTAAAGTTTATAATCCTATCCCTCAAAAATGAAAGTTCAGGAAATGAGGGATGGCGACCAGATCAATTACATGTAAATGAAATTCATATGTAGACCTCTATCATGGGTCAGCCATCTTGCTTTTCTACCATTCAAAGTAATTTAACCAAACCGAGGCTGGAGTGAAAAAATAGGCTGTTTCCTTTTATCAATATGTGAAGTTGTATTACTGTTGCCAAAGGGCTACACAGGTACAAGACGAACACGGCAGCCTTCTGATAAAGGTCTATACATGTACCGGTACCTGTAGCTAGGGGCCAAAGGCACATTAGACTGGTTACTGTAATACATGTACAATGTTACAGCTGCCACCCACATACTGCGAGGCCAAGGGAATGAAATTTGTTTTGCATCCATTGCCAACATGCCAGCGAAGCACCTGCTTCATTATTAAAAAAAGAAGAAAAGACATTTTCAAAAACTCTCCAGTTTTTCTTGGTTTTCTTTTATTTTTAAATGCAATAAAAATCATAAAAATGCCAATAAAACGGGTGTACATGTAACTCCGCCTCCTGCATGTACAATGTACATGTATCTTCAATGCCACCACACATGTTGCAGAAGAAAGTCTCCCACGAACGTTGCATGTAGTCAGCTAACTGCAGCCGGCCTGGACTGGCCTGACATGCTAAAACTTACATGTACATGTAGGTCATACATGTACCGTACCTGTACTTCTAGAACTACTGAGTTTGTCATCTGCTTGGAGAGACAAACAGCGAAGCAGACAACGAACCCCATACTGTCGTTCTAACACTACCCTGGGAATGTACATGTATACATACATGTACATGTATGTACAGATACATGTATACGTGTACCGGTATATCAGGCAGACACCATCCAAACATGTGCAAACAAACAAGTTTGCAATCTACAATGTACAGTAACTGTTGAGAAAATTTGACGATTAACAGATGATGCAGCCATCAAAATTGTGCATCCAGCAATCTGATTGGCCAAGGTCAGGAAAGTCATGACAAGATGGCCAATGGCAAAATATTGAATAATGAAAACACATGTCGGTACGTGTGTGTCCCATATTTGACATTACAGTACATGCATGTGTACATGTACTGTACATGCTTGGACACAAAACATGAAATTTCATTGCACACTTTGTGTGCATTGCACACTATGCATATGTCGGGTTGATGGCCAACCACTGTTTATCGGCTCACCCATTTTCAGAAGGGGGGAATGAAATCTTGTTTTCACTGCTTGACCACCCTGTGTGTGTGTCTTCCTTGGCAGGTGTGTCATTTTCATCAGATGAGTAAGACGATGGTGTGTAAAAGCTCAGATTTTTTTTCAAGACGTAATTAGTCGCAGGTCTTACAGTAGAGGCACACGTCACAGCTCAGAGACCGTCCTTGTATGTATTTAGTGAAGTCCTTTTTGTTCAAGGACAAAATCAGTACCCGCAAACAGAGAATGTCCCTCTAAATAGGGACAATTTTAAAAATTTCTACCATTTGTTACTTCTGGAATTACAAGCAGGAGACTGCACTGAAACATAAATGGTAGGGAAAAGACGGTAAATGGAAAAGGAAGCCACACGGAACGACTTGCATCATATGCACATTATGTTCAGAAAGTGTACATGTACTTTGCGCATCCTGATCATAATATGATAAACATCATTCTACGTGGCTTTCTTTTCCATCTACCAGAAAAGGCTGCATCAAAACCAATTTTCTGAAAAATCAATTCTTTATGATACGGTAGTTAATGAAGTGACTAAGACATGGCACAAAGTTCACAAAACAACTTACAAATCTAAATATGAATGGAAAATACATGGAACGCTATGGGAGAAAAAATCAATAGTAAGATGTGGATATTTTTTACCTAAGCCCACTTGGGAAAAATGGGCAGCTGGTAAAGTCGGAGGTACATGTACAGTAGCCAGAGGTACAATAGTCAAAGCTAGCATATAATATTGAGTAAAGTACTTTCTGTTGCATGGATACGGACGAGCATCATACCATTGCTATAGAAGGGTCAGTTGTGACTTGCAGTAAAATCATTTAGGAAGCTTTTGAACCACAAAAAGGAAAATGAGATGAGAAAGCGATCCTTTGTATACCAGAAGGATGAATGAGTAGACATTTACATGTAACTGCTTTACTAAATATTATATGCTACCTCAAGCTACAAGTGCCTCTGACAACCTCCAGCTACCTCAAACTTTTATCTACTGTTGAAAATATGTTCCCTTTTAAGCAGGCATTCTCTCTTTCAGGGGACTGGTTTTGTCCCCAAATAAAGGGACTTCTCTGAATAAAAAGACAGTCCCCATTTTGTGATGCACGCCTCTACTGTCTCAAAACAATTGGTCAGAAGATTTAAAGACACGAAAGAGATAGGGCATAGGCCCTATACAGTACGTAGGCTGCATCAGTTTGACAGGCATTGTGGGAAGGAAAAAGGAGCAGACATGGCCCTTTTTTCCTTCCCACAATGCCTTTCTACCATCGTGCAAAATCGCCCGTGCAGTATTCACGATAAGGCTGATGGCCTAGCCAGTCATTGTGGTGTTAGTGTTACAAACTCAACCCATAAAAGATCATATGCCCCAGACGCCCTCTGCTGGACATCATGCACATTACGTCATGCACATTACGCATGATGTAAGCAGGGTGTGACGCTGTTATTGATTCTCTTTAGAACAAAATATCAGAACTTAATTCATTTGTTTTTGTTGTACCGGGCTAAATGTTAGCCGATTTACTGTTTTCCCAAGTAAGTTAAAGTCTTTAAGGTAAGCACTGCAAATTCTATGTACATGTATTGCCGGAGGATAACTTCACAGTATATTTATTTATGTAAATGCTTTCCCTGTACAAGTACAGTGACTTCAAGAGTTTTGCGACCATGATTTAATTAACCTGTAAAATACAAAACGACTGTTCCAGAACAACTGATAGTTTATTGGACTCTTTGACTGTTACAAATTGAACCTTGTTGATGTCGGTTTTACGGCAGTTTATAGTGTGTACAATTTCCCACCAGAATAATATCAATTATAAATCTTAGGTCATCCAGCTCGACTGCTTTAATGTATGAAGATTTATTTAAATAATTCATCATTCAATTTACTGTGACCGGATACAACATCCATTAGCCTAGTTCAGCACCAACTTGTGGTTCATTTAACAGATAAAGTCGAGCTAGATGACCTAAAACATGTAAAAGGCTTTAAATTACTCAGGAAAAACAGTAAATCGGCTAACGTTTAGCCCGGTACAACAAATAAATAGACCATATTCGCGGCATCCCCAATTTCAGTCGTATTCCCCAATGTAGGGGATTTATTTGAAACCCTTAAATTCGAAGAACCCGACTTAATTCTACGATTTCATTCCAACCCCCAAAATCACCTGGTACTATCCCATTACGGGTTTCAAATTTATACTGCACATTCAGGAATACGACTGAAATTGGGGACACCGCGAATACGGTCTATTAAGTCCTGATATTTCTTTCCAAAGACAATTTGTGACAGCGTCATGCCCCGCTTGCATTGTGCGTAATGTGTGTGACGTAATGTGCGTGGCATGTCCAGCAGTGGGCATAACTAATCAAATTCAAAACACCCTAGCCATGCTAGCGCCTGTTCTTCAACTGCAAGTCTTTGATCTCATTACCCCCAGAACTGTGGGGTCCGACGTCTGCTCTTCATGGGAAAGGAGTGGACGTTGAACCCTACAGTCCCGGGGGTATGATCTTATTTGATCATCATGATCGTGTTGACCATGGCTGTGGTTGACGTGTGCTTTTAATTCTTTTAATCTGTTTTGTCTGATTTTATACATGAGAAGGGTAGGCATTACTGTACACTGATTTTCACTGTTGTAACTGCACCAATAGTACCGCACTGGTCTACGTCAATAACCAGACATTATGAATATGAATTATGATGCAACACGCAGTTGGGGGGCCTGCCGGTAACGTTACTTTCACATAGTGAAGTTATACAACACGTCGCTTTTTTTTTTTAGTTGACAAAATTTTAGTTGATGACCTCCCAACATACACATTACCTGATTCTCCTTGACTACTTCACTCAAGCACGGATACCGCTCGCTGATCCAGCGATAAAACTTAGGAACACCCATTTTGTGAACTGAAATTTGAAAACAATTGTCCTTTCTTACTGAAGCAACGTTGGTGAGGGACTTTTCAGCAATGAGCAACACACGTATATATATGTACGTACGCAAGGCAAACAGATTGCACATGTTATGTGTTATGACATTCCGCTGGTGTCCAGCACTGGTATTATTTTTACAAATTCTGAGCGGGAAACCATGAAAGCGTTGATAATTATTGAGGGCGCTATGAAAAAAAATCACTCGTCCACCATATACCAAGCCGGTTATTTTTTTAATGTTTGACCACGAATCCGAATCACGAGTCCCTGGGCCACTCGCATCCTCTCTCATGGTTTCAAGCGCAAAATGAATACATGAATTGCAAAATTCAGTTTTAGCAGTGGATTATCCTAAACTTTCTGGTTTGAAGGATACTATATGCTTCCAAGACCTTTGAGGAGGGCAGCTTCTGTCAACCTTGATGCTCTTTAATAGGGTTGCCAACTACCATGGCATGATGATGATCTAAGCTCAGGACACCTCCTCAGTGTTTCAGTATTAGTTGGCGATTGAATGTGCATCGGTGCAAAACCCTACACACCTGCCAGAAATTACTGACTAAACTATGAAACCTGGGAAGGGACAGGAGGATTTTTTTGGATTAACAAATTTGTTGGCACGAATTGTTATTTCGTTGATATCGCTGCCAATTTATTAATTCTCAGTTTAATCAAAATAATAATACAACCGTAAATTCTAATTGATGAAGTTTCTAAGGTCCTTACTACGGACGGGAATGGCAAACTTGCAGACCAGTAGCGTATTGTCCAGCTTTTAGTGTCAGGGAGCGAATGCGGATTTTGGGCTTATTTGACGTAATATTAATTGGGGGGGTGAGAAATAATGTCAAAAGCCTTACTCATGGTCCCGCAATCTTAGCTTTTATATCACGGTGTTGCTTTCTTAGTGTTTGGGAGCGAATATTTGATACATAGCCTAAATATTAAAATAAAAACTGGATTAAAAAAATGAAAATAAAAGTGAGAAAATCTTCGAGGGGGACGCTTGTCTCGATTGAAAAAGAACGATGTTAGCACAGACAATTGTACAGTTGATTTACAAAATGTATATTCGCCCACTGATTTCTAGAGTTTGGAAGAGCTGACTGGTCCTCATCTATAATGGGTCATTCCGCAAATGTGAGCATGTACATATATTGAGAGCTAATTCAGAGACGAGTGCTTCAGTTAATAGATAGTCATAGTATCCTTGCATACTCGGACCAAGTTCCTTAACAAGTTCTCTGAATAAGCTTGCTTCTTGGCGTAAATAGTTGACTTTGCGTCTAGTTCGCATCAAGTTACCTCTGGACGTAATCTTACCACTTCTGGTTTTTTTGGGTTTTTTTTTTTTACATATTCCTTTAAGCCGAACACAGAGATTATAAGCAAACAGCGTTGTCGACAATTCCCATACCTAAAAAAAGAAGAAAAACGAGTGTGTCCTTTAACAAAAATTTTATTCAATGATTTAACATTTGGGTGCTTATGCCCGTCTCGACGTAACCCTTTTCCTTCGACATGCCATTCCTTCCAACACGTACAGCTGGACTCATCGCTCTCAATGCATTGCTGATTACGTCTCTCTGTTCTCTTGAGATCTCAACTGCAGCGACGAATCGGGTACGTAGGTCGTTGATATCTTGGGGTGGCGACTTGTAAACTTAATTGGTTCTTAAGATTGATCCCCACAAAAGAAATCACACGGGGTGAGGTCAGGGGACCTTGGTTGACACTCAGTCTCATGATTAATCGCAATTACTCTCCTGTTGAACAACCCTTGTAGCCTTTCCCTTACGATGATCCGACGATGAGCTGGAGCTCAATCCTCAGGGCCCACCATAAGCGGCGAAACATTCCACCGTGGTGTTCAAAGTGTTGCTGTAAGTGCGGTACAATTTCGTCGTCGGTAATCTCAAGGTAACGTTCACCATCGAGATTGCCATGAAAGAAACAGGTCCAATGACGGTGTCAACTCCACACAGACCTATCCAAAGAGAAATCTTCTCTCGGCTCATTTTCACATCAAAACTGAAGTTGGGTGGGGTATGCATCGGAGCGTATTCGCAGACATTCTGGTTATTGACTTGGCCATTCATGAAAAACGCTGCTTCACCCGTAATCACACGGTGCTCCAAGAATCTGGGGTGGATGCCGGTCAAGGAACAAAATCTTAGTCACTGGCAAAATCTTAGTCGGGCAATGGTGTGTATCATCAAGGAGTTCGTGTCGCCTGTGCATCTTGTAAGGGTACCATTGGACGTCCAATAACAAGGTTGTGGGGAATTAAAAGAATGGCGAAATTCCTAGCCCATTTCTCCTTGCAGACACATGTGGGTCTTCCAGCGACTCACGGTCAGCCCTGATGTTCGCATCTGATCTTGCCGTTCTTTGTTGGCCTGAGCGACCCTTTTTTTAGTGAATGCTATTTTTTATTTGAACTTTGCATCAAAAAAATGCCGAGCTGAGATAAAAAGTCGCTGCTGCCGAGGCTTGCGCTTAACCAAATTAAATAAAAGACTGCTCACAACCTGCCGAGCTTATAAATTGAAATGTTACCGTCAAATTGCAGACAACGTAGCTTGGACTCGGCTATGTGGACACGTCGGCTGTGAGGAGCAAACGCTGCCGAACCAGTTTCCAAAGCCCATGCAGCCGTGAAGGACGAAACTTCGACGTACGTAGGAAGGACTTCATTGCCTCAGGGCAGTCGACACTGAGTGGAGAGGGAGAGTGGAGGCTGTGTTGTTGTTTTGTTTTAATGGCGCTTTCAGCAACTCAGGCTATTTGCGCCAATAACTGTACGTTTATTCATACACTTTATTAATCAGCATCACATTACTGAGTTAGGAAGAAGGTCCAGTTTTAGAGGCAGGAGGAAACCAGAGTGCCTGGAGAAAACCTGCGAGAGCGAGTGTGGACTGGAAACCAAATGCACTTAAAGCCTGGGCCAAGCTGGGACTCGAACCCGGGCCTCATTGGAGCAAAGCGGGGAAAGAACCGCTACGCTAACCCGCTCCCCCGTGAGGCTGTGTTGTCAGAGTCCACGCCACGCCTTTTATGAACACGATACGCGCCAACTTAAGGGTTACAGAGAATCCGCCCCGAGCTGAAGTGCACCCTCACCGGCGAACGAAAGAACGCAAGATCATAACTATACACAGCCTGACCAAGAAATGAGACGGAGGGGTACCCCCCCCCCCCAACATGTCCAATCGCTATACACACTCTGGACTATTGTTACCGAACACATTCCCCCCCCCCAGATGTCTGAAAAGAATTCCTCCGATTCTAGTGAAACAATGATTAACAAAGCAGGGGGGGGTTCTTTCCGTCTCATATCTTGCTTCATATGTTTCCAATTGTTAATGAGTGTGAAATGAAGCATGCTCAGGATTGCATAATTTGGAGGCCCGACAGAAACCCTGCACTAGGCAGACAAGGCTCTTTACGAAAACATCTATCTGGTGCAAGACCAGTTCTGACATGGGTGATTGAACTGCTTCGTGCTCAGTCATCCGTGTGACAGTAAATTGGATTTGTTAAAGAAAGAGGACACGCCTTAGTTAAATATTAGCCATGCCCAAGATATTAACGAATTAATTTCGGTTTACTAAAGAAAAAAAACAAATAAAGACTTGCACATTTTTCATTTAGTCCTGTGCCCATACATTCAAAATATATTTTTCAATATCTTTGGAACAAAAATTCATCCCCGGTGGGACTCGAACCCACAACCTTTGAATTAGAAGTCCAACGCGCTAATCCATTGCGCCACGGGGATGTGGACAATCACGTGGGTAAATTTTAACGTTTATATAGTATGTGTTAATATATTTGGCAAAATTGTGATTTCTTAAACTCAATATTATGTAGTTGGTGTTTGCAGTTACTTAAAATAAAGCATATCATGCTTAAATTTTCAGATAAAAAAAAGAGTCTGCGATAACACACGTTCCTCCGTAAAGAGAGAAACACAGCTCGTACAACCTCCTTTTCGTGTTTACTGCGCCTCTTGTAAAAACACAAGATTAAATCAACTCTGGGAACAAGGACAGCCTGTAGTTCTGGTGACGTGACGTCATTATAACGCTGTGCTATACACTATATAGTACACTGCTGTTGCATTGCAGTGCACTTGCAGGCAAATGGTCGATTCCCCAGTGTTTTGTTCGTCATCCAAACCTTTGTCGTACCTGTTTCTTACTGTTCACGAGTCTTGACATAATGTCGGCTTTTCTGAAAATAATTCCCTTTTGTTGGTAAGTTCACTTCCATGTACCAGAAAGTTTAGTGATTTTAGGCCATTGTAAACTAGGCCTAAGCCTTATCTCGAGCTCCTACTTCACTTGTCATGCTCGTCCTAGGCCCCGAAGCCTAATCGCAAATAGGCCAACTGCATGGGTGATTTTGCACAATGGTAGACAGGCATTGTGGGAAGGAAAATAGACCAATGTTTGCTCCTTTTTCCTTCCCACAATGCCTTTCTACCATTGTGCAAAATCACTCATGCGGTGTAAAGTCCTTCATTTTTAACTTTGCCGTTGCTGTTGTTACGGCAGCGGTAACGCATCTCCCATTTTCTATCATTACGGCACTGCAACTGTGCAAGCGTACCAACTTAAGCGCAGATTTTGAACTTTATTTCCTTTTAAAAGAAATCCTCCAAAGCCTCCGATGAGAAAAGAAGAAAGATTCCTGCTTAGGCCCTAGGCCTATACAATTACTTAGAAATCAACATAAAAAAACAATTAGCCCTATGGTCAATGGTATAAAACATGAAATTTAGGTGAAAAAAAATAAAATGGTCCAAGCGGGGATTCAAACTCACGCACCAGTGGTTCTAAACCTTCCACCTTGACCACTCGGCAAAAAGCGTTCAGCGATCCAAGTAATGTTAAAATATATAAACCGTCATGATGATCAGCTACATTGTACGTCATCGCACTTGCACAGTTCAGTGCCGTAACAATAGAAAATGGGAGATGCGTTACAGCTGCCGTAACAATAGCCACTTTGTTTTAACTTAGGGCCTAAATTACAATTATCACCCACACCCTTTGTCCATAGGGCCCATAGAAAAGAGAAAGGACTAGGGAAGACAGATTTAGCCTACCGTCTCCCACATGCACACTGTACCGGCTCATCAGTATGGTGTGCCCCGGACTGTGCACTGTGCATGCCGCATTGCTTTCATGGCCATGCATAGCGCTGGTTCAGTGGTTTGGGTGGCTGTCGCAACAGGTCAGAGGATTTGGAATGATAAGGAATGGTAACGGTATTAATGTTGGAGAGAGATGCAAAGATATTCTTGATATAATGTCTCCTGATTCCTTTCTTCCACCATCTACACGTAGACTGTTCTTTGCAGTGTTCCTGTATCCATAGGCTGCTGTAAAGCTATTCTTCTGTCAGCCAGACGCCATCATGTGGTGGTACAGCTTCTCCCACGTTGTCTTCCACTTCATCCGTTGGTTTCCCAAGAGCAACCGAATGAAAATGTAAGTTTATAGTTATAGCCCCACCCAAAAAGGCTGGCACCTAACGTGAGCCTGTCATGATAAATATTGAGCAGCTTTCTAGCATTTGTCAAGTTTACAGGACTTTCTTCTCTTTTTTCTCCCACCGAACAGCCGAGTCATCATCGTCTTATTTGCCTTTGCGTTACTTTTCCCTCAGTTCTTTGTGCTGACAAGGTAAGAGTATTTTCCCATTTTTCTTTTGATTCATGACATTTTCTTAACGCTGGTACACGGTGAACCATTTCCTGTGGTACTTACATGTACATGTAATTTGTTTTTAGCAGATGTCAAATTAAGCCACAACTTTCAATCAGGCGGCCTATGGGAGACTTTGAGATGCTTAGTAGCGACAAACAAACCAGTATGCTCAGTGCTTGTCCGAGAGCTTGTGAAAAAACCTTATAAGCTTACTCGGGTGGGACTCAAACCCACGACCTCCTGCACTGAGCATACAGTGCTTATTAATATACGTTGGGTAAGGGCAAAAACCTGTTATATATAATTAACACTGTTGTTGTTTTAAAATGTCACTTGTGGACTCCTTGTCTTATTTCAGGGAACACTCATCACGCTACTGTGGCCAACATTTGTTTGATCAACTCATTGTGTCCATTGTTTTCACATTTTGTATGATAGGTGAGTAGTTGATAACCTCAAACACACAGGTGCACGGGCGGGTCCAACTTGATTGCATTTTCTCTTAGCCATGTCAGCATGCTCAGTTAACATACTTCGCACCTTTCCGATTTGATTGGTGAACTGGAACACAGCATCAGTGTGAACTGAGAGGTGTGCATGGGTAACTTGGACTGATTTGATTGTACACCGGGCAACATGATTTCATCAAATTTTTTAAAAACCAAGGGTTTCACTAGTGCTAATTTCACTGGAAAGGTGTGTGACTAACATGCCAATTCCACTGAAGATGTTGCTTATGTTAACCACAGAGTAGGGCTTGAATTTTAACTTTTGGGGGCAATGTCACTTTTGCCTTAAGAAATGGGACATGTTCAGGGACACCGCAGCAAATGACAAGGACAACAAGGCCAAACTTTCTACAAAAGAAGGGCACTGAGGCCAAGGTGTAAAATATTCTGCAAAACGAGTTACGAAACTGGAAAAAGATAAATTGTGTTTTATTTGAGCTATCCTGATTGAATATTATATAACCCATGACAAAACATCATATTACAGGAAGGAATAGGCACATTTTCTGACAAAGGATTTCTTAATTAAGAGAAAATTAATTCATAAAAAAAAATCCAGTAAACTGCACTATAGAGTATGTTTTGTTTCTATTTTGATGCATCTTTTTTGACTGCATAGCGTGAGCTTACCAACATACACGTACATGTACATGTAACCCCCTGTGCGGTAAAGTTGGCCAACCCATCATGTCAAGGAATAATCAGTTACGCACATGTAGTTGAGTCTGCTGCGTGCGTGCATACGCGATTTGAAACTTGGGAGACAAAGACCTAGCCATAGCTGCAGGGGCCTGTTTTGGACGCTGCTCAAGCCCATGTACGCATGTGCCAGCCAGGTCGTTGCACATTATGCCCAATTTGCCGGGCTAGGCTGGCTGGTCCCAAATACATGTACAGTTATGTATTGTAAATTGAAGCCAATGATGCAGGCAAGCCTCATGCAATACGGTGCTGCAGTGCGGTGTGCTGGGTCTGCCAGCTTGGCTGCCCTGGCCATGCACCCATGTGGCAGGAAGACGATCGTGTACCGGTAGACGGCAGCACGTGAATGTGAAGTTGCAAACTCACAGGAAATTTAGGGTATTTTTTCAGGGCACCAGTGCCAGGAAGAATAAGGCACACAAAGTGGAAATTTTCAGGGCACTGCAGCCAATTGTAGGGGCACCGACCGCCATGGCCGCGGTAACCGTGGTGATAGAGCTATTAAACACAGTGAACCAAAGAAGTTCACACGTTTCAGATGGCCGTCACGTAACTGGTTAATAGCATCGTGGTAGTGGGATGGTAGTATTCATGTAGTTTGTTTTCATATCATTCTGAATATTAACATGAATATAGGTAATAATATGAGGGTTCCTCATAAACAGCAAATGCTTATGGGTCATTCCATGAGGTTGGGGCACAGTTTGTGACTGTCAATTATTATATGGGTTCCGTAAAATTGAACAGCTATTTCCCTGAATGTGGACTCCAAATTGACATCGTTATACATCTTGCAAGGCTAAATACAGGGGTGTGTTTTATTTTTACAGAGTAAATGACTTCCTGTACAGGTCATGACGGACAGTAAAAGTTACCCATGTAACAAGGACACCATGACAAATTGTGTCCCAACCTCTTGGAATGACCCTTATACAAGATCAACGAGAGTATGAAAAAGTAACTAGATACCAGTATGTGTGTACATTACGTTATGGATGCTAATGGTGACATGCAGGTCAGGGGTCCAGTGAACTGATCAGAGTATGCAAATCCCCATTTTACCATCTGTTAGTTGATTCTGCCTCCATGTCACTCTTTCTTCCTCCCAGGTTTTACCATCATATTCTCGATGATGGACCCTGTCCCGTTTGAGGTGAAGGTGGTGTTTCATATCTTTGGTGGGATCTGTTTCATTTTTGGCACAGTGCTGACAGTCTTCACGGCTCTGGCAATTGAATGTGTAAGTTTGTTTTTGGGGGTGGGCTGCTCGGGGGAGGGGGGGTTTCCACTAGGCAATAGGGCCTGGGAACCACATCAGACTATAGAGTATAGCACTCACTTGATGGGGGACATCCATGGTCGAGTTTTCACACATTCTGGGCAAGTTTAAATGACAACTATTTGCTAGCCGCTGGTTAATTTTGCCTGGTACTCAGGATATACTTTATGCATAGGTTATCCACCAAAAAATTGACCAGTTGTTGACAAATAGTTGTTGCTTGAGCTTGCCCTCTGCTGTATGTGATGAGAGCAGGTGTTTTTTGGAGGCATTGTGGCATATGTGTAATCTTTCGTATGTCTTCCGCACATATTTTAAATAACAGTGTTTAGGGATGGGGCAAACTGCATCTTTCAAGAACACAAGACTTGAAACATTATCCCAGTATGTATTTTACTCTTTTGGTACTTTTTTGCAAATGGCTTTTTTGACAATATTTGAACAATCATAGGCCGTGTCCGAAACGGGCTTCCAGAGCTATGGCTAGGTCTATTGTCTACGCGTCTCCACGCATTTCCAATGGAGCGAAGACCTCGACCTAGCTCTAGACAAGAGATTCGGATGCAGCCATAGCTTGACAATGTAATGCCCAACTGAGGTATTACCCAGAGTCTCGGATGGCTCAAAGAAAAGCAATCTGTGCACACTGTACAGTTATTGATCCCTGCTCAGTGGCCGTCGTATTAAAATTACATTCTTTTATGCCGAGATAACTTGCCTACTGTGACCTGCTCTGTGAGAAACAGTCATAGGTCGCCAGAGGCACTTTTGAGCTACAGACATATACATCTATACATGTATATCATCCTTATTCTTCTCAGTTACGTAACTTTAGTCATTGTTTTCACACCCCTACCTACACACGCAGCAAACCAATACTGTGGAACTGTACTACATGTCCCTGTCATCGGTTGTGCTATGTCTGTTATCCATGGGTAAGTTCTGGAACATCAGTTCTGAAACTTTGCTCTGATTTTCTTTGCAAATAGGTGTTATTGTCTGTAATAGTTCATTGTAGAAATGTAGATGTGCTCTAACTTCTTTGCATACAGGTGTTATTGTCTGTAATAGTTCATTGTAGAAATGTAAATGTGCTCTGATTTTCTTTGCAAACAGGTGTTATTGTCTGTAATAGTTCATTGTAGAAATGTAAATGTGCTCTAACTTCTTTGCATACAGGTGTTACTGTCTGTAATAGTTCATTGTAGAAGTGTACATGTGTTGCCTTGTGTATATTTTTGTCAGTCTTTCATGGTTACTTATTTTTAACCTTACCATTTTCATACTTAAAAGTGATAGACTGTATTCATGTGTCAGCCATTTTTAATTGAAAATGAGGTAAAGCATCCCATTTTCGGAACCCGAGAGTGAAAAAAAACATGAAAATAAAAGTTCAATACAAATTCATCCCATATTTTGTTCAGAATAATTAACAATTTGTGATATATTATGTCTAATTTTTGGAACCCACATTAAAAAAAATAGTCTGGCACCAGCCCATTGAACAGATTACATCAAATATGATAGAATCAGGGAATAGGAGCATACGGCTTCCTTATGAATAGGTCTACTGTTACGCGCTCAAGAATGTTTTTGTATTTTTCACCCACAGTGTTCTTTGTTTTGATGATTCCATTCTGGTTGATCAACCATTTCTTTCCCAATGCTGTCCTGGATCGCAAGGGTCGAACTGGTCTGTGCTACGAGCCCACCCAGTGTTGCTCCTGTCTCTGGCATATCTGAAGTGCCAGCAATGAACAAGTCACATCTCTCCGAATACCACCAAGTCATCAACTAACTTTAAAGGGTTCATCCAGTGAAGTTCTGTTAGACCCTTTATTGTGGGGCTCTGTGCTATACCTCAGTGCATGAATATTATCTGACATCCATTTGGGGTTTAGTGTATAAAAAGTACTTTTTCTTGAACATTGAAAATATCCATGGTTTGCTGGTCAACTGAAGGCTGTCTTGCCATGATGTCAGTCATTTTACTTGAATTGATGCCTTGTTGGGGACCTTTCAGCTCCAGGCTTCTTTCTAATCAGAGAGATTTGATTATTGTCAAAGAGTAGAGTGTACAGGTATATTTTCTTAAAATGTAGATTTCACTTTACATTATCATGATTGGGTGCAGGTGTACATAGTAATGTGTGGCATGATATGTGTTCCTGTACATTTCTCAGTAATTGTAACTGCCCGTGTAGTCACTGTTTTTCTTTCAGGTACAGCGATGCACATTTGTTGTGGAACCCTTGAGTCAAGTTGCTGCTGGCAGATCTGTTCAGTACAATGTTTGACCAACACGCACCACCTTACATACCTAGTGTTAACTTGTGAACAAAAGATGTCCAAACCATACAGCAAGGGAAGACATTCTGTGGATTTACCCATTTTCTCTGAAAAAGAAGATTAGAGGCATTTTGGGATTAGGGTTATATTTCGTATTAAAAAAGGAAGTACAGTCGAGGAAACATGTTACAAAAAAAAAAATCTGAAATCTTGTTCCCAGTTCAAAAACAATGAATATTTTCATTGTGTTTTCTTAATGCACAAAAACAAGGACTATCCACACGAGGTTACGGTATGCAACGTTCTTATGTGTGTGTGTGTTCGCAAGAACCAACATGTGTTTGTGAGACTGGCATTAATACCTCAGACAGTCTCCCCATGCAACAACGTGCAACGTGACCGTGTATTAACATTTGATAATGCCCCCTGAGAAGTGATAATGCCCCCTGAGAAGTGATAATGCCCGCGTTGTGAAACACGCTCTGGCACCTGGATATGAGACAGTTTACTCCATCCCTATTGGTCATGAGTCTGCATGCGACGCTACACAGAGAACGTGCCAAGTGCGCACCAAGTACAAGGAGATTCCATTGGACAACTTTTAAAAGGAATATACCATAAAATGGACGAGGTGCTCGAGAAAATGAAAGAAAATTTTAGAATAAAATCGTTGGAAATCCGTCACATGTTGACTTCTTTTGACTCTCTAGCTTTATAGCCATGTACATGTATGTACCGTAGCTGCAACCAGCCTTTGCCTGGGCAAGAACGTCTGAACATGGTCTGAAACAAGCGCTTAACTGTAGATTATGTAACAAGGGAGGACCAGCTCACAGGAGCCAAGAAAATAAAATGTGCGTGATGCACTGTTCTGATACATTTCGCAGAGGCCTTCACAGTTTCACAGCTAACGCAGTGGCAAGCAATTGTTGGTGTGTTCAATTCTCCATTAAAGCTGCTGCCAACCGGTGAATAGTCCAGACATAGTCTGCCATGACTTGAAGCACTCTCTCACTGACACAGAAGACACAGGATGGATGGTGGGAAGTTTTCCAGTGTGGCCTGTGGTAAACATGCCCAATACACCAAGTGTCCACCAAACAGGACTATTGTTGCTTGCAAAGCACAGTTGTCATCAATTGTTCCTGCACAGAACAGAATAACAGACATTATGTCCACTTTTGTTTCTTATTTTGAGAGATTTGGCTCTAAACAAAAGTTCTTTACTTTGTGAGCAAACGTTCAGTTCTTCGGAACATTAGGAAAAATTTCATTTGTGGGGGAGAAAATTATTTCTCAAATGAATGTTTTTTTCTGTGTGAGTAAAATTGGCATTTATTGGATTTTTTCTTCTGAACTTTTCAAGTACACCCACCGTTCACACATACATGTTTGATCAACATAATTGAAATAAGCAGTGTATATCTATTACTAAATGAGTCGATCAAACTCATTGACGGACTTGGGTCCATGATCAGTTAAATACGAGGTCGATGCATCGGAGGGTTTTAATCCAGCCCTTGCTGGCAGGTCGTCAGGATAGTGTAATTGAAATTCAAATAGTTCTAAAATATTGATTTATGAGTTGCTTGTGGACAGTGGAAATTTATCTTTGTATATTTTGTAAGCAGTGTATAAATTGAATCAGAGTGTGTGTACATCTTTATTTTAACCAGCTTGATCTTTTCTGATCTTAAAGTAAATTTGAATTGTCTGATTTCACTAAAGTGTGTCCGTCCATTAAAATACTCTGCACCTAGAATTATCACACATCGCAGTATACATGTATTTTGTGTCTTGTGAAAATTTGATTGAGCTTTTCACAAAAAGCTCTTACTGTAACAGTGCAGTGGTCAAAGCCAGAGAGAAACGTCTTTGTTGCTGTTGATGAAACTATCATTACGTGAAATTCAGAATTCTTTTCATTCAAAAGAAAACAGATTGATCAGAAGCAATGCCATGCCTCATGTCACCGGGAGCACCATTCATAAGGAACATGGCAGCAATAAACTGCATTCATCTCCCCCACCGACTTGAAGACTGGTACAGTACATACTTTTGGTGAAAGTAGAGCAAATTTGATGTCGCAAAACATTTTTTATAAGATTTGCTCAAGTCAAAATATGCTCACCTTTTGCAAATTTGAAGCACACATATTTTGTTTGTGCTTGCTCATGGGTTGAAGATTAGAAAGCTGCCATCCACTTTTCATGAACTGTCACACACAAACCACTCAAACTAGAGATACATGGGTACTCACTTTCTCATAGATATGTATTTAATTACTACACAACAGAAATATTCACCTGACATTGTTGAACCTTTTTTCAATACTTGTTACTGAAAAGACAACTCACCATCAAAACAAATCGGTATGTTATTTGCAAATTCATTCGTGTCAAAAATGCAACACACCACCAAAATATGAAAGTAAAGGAATAAAAGTACAAGTTACAAACTCACTTTAAAAATTTGGTGTAATTTTGGCCTTCACTTTTTAAAGTTAATTTTACAATAAACCAGTTCAGTCCTGGTATTTTCACAATGCATGGTAAATCAAGATATTAAACTTGATGTCAAGCGTGCTGGAATACATGCATGTTTGATATGAGTCTGCATAATGCTCATGCTATTAAGGGCAGTGACACGGGGGGGGGACACTGCCCCTTCCCCAAACATAATGGGTTTTTTATGATTAGAAGTCCAGAGACTTCAAACAGTGCAACACATTGCATTTGGATGATCATATGTGACCTGCTCTGCAAAAAAAGGTAATAAATCGCACAAGGCCAAAATACATAATGGCCCGTTGTATTTGGAAAGGGCAAAATTTCTTCGAAAATGTGATTTTGTTTTTTTTCCTTTAGTAGCTTTTATAATTTTTGTTTAGAATTTGTGATTATAAACATGGGTACTGATCACAAAAGATGAAAAATTGATCATTCAGTAAGAAATCCTGTAGATCTTGTTTCCAAGATCTACACTTTATGAGCTTTTCTCGAAAAGGGCTTTTATCGAATCCGAAAATGTCCATACATGTAATATACAAATGAATATGTATCTCAGGAACGCAGAGCACTACAGGGGTCATTCATATATCAAATTGTAGCTTTTGATGTACAGAATCCAGCCATATCATAAACACATAACCTGAATCTGGCAACTTAGCACCCATTTTTCTAGAGCCGGTCACATATTACGGACGTAAAAAAAATGTCAGAAAAACTGTTTTGAACCACTCAGTTGCAACTGTGATTACAGAGAAGATACAAAATCTCAGTGACAATATCTTGTGCTTGTCATATGGTATATCCTCTTTATAAAAGATCCGTTTAAATTTGATGCTAAAGGAAACTACCAACAACATGAAATTTCTCAAAACTTAACAATGAAGACGTCCATTTTTTTTTACATAGACAGAGTTCATGCTATACATAGCTTAGTTTTCAATTGCTACACCTCAATATTTACTCTGCTCATCAAATCTTTTCTTATGACTGTCCCTTCCCTCATCGCCCATCCAACTAACAGAAACTAATGTACAATATCAAATGCGGAGGTGTCTTTACTCAAAAACAGAAATCCTGACAGCGCTAAGCAAGCACTGCCTCTTTTAAGCCATGGAATGAAGAATTACCTACTCATAAAATCTTGGTCTTGATTCCAGGCCACTGTTAGCTGTTTCTTTTAAAAGTCCTATCGATATTTGATAAAATGTGTTATTTTCATTGACAATCTTCATTGGGGTCTATTTCCAATTGGAAATTTTGTGGACCATTGTAGATAGTACAAATGGTTAGCCCTTTACCAGCGATGTACAGGAAACAAAATTATGGTCTTAAAAGAAGTACAATTGTTGAAAGATGATGTAGGCAGTGTAGCTAGGTACTGTGAAAAAATTGAAAATATAATGCCAAAGCACAGCTATTGAACGATAATCTAGAAACATGAGCAAATGCTATAAACAAGAGCAACACAAAAAACAGTGATGAGAAATCACAAGGCGATTCCATGCTAAAGTGGACATGTCGTGGAATCATTTCTGACCTTATCTTCTTTACCCATGGGTAATTCTTCAACAAAATGGGGGTTTTCAACTAAAAAAAAAAAGACTGTGGCAACAGTAAACAGTAGCATAACCTTTCATTCCACTTTGGTGAATTGTGTTAGAGGTGGGTGACAGTGCGACTAAATTTCCACTTCTGCATGGAATCGCCCAGGACTGTGTTCTTTTTTTATAGATCTCTGTGAGTTTAGTGTCTCTTGCCCCTTGTTCTTTAGTCATGATCACGACTCCTGTGACGACCTCCTTTGCTTGGGCCGGTAGGTCTGGATGGTGAGCGGTCCCGTTGTACTGAAGTGTAATTTTCCCTGCACAGACACAAATGAAAGGTCAGAGGTTTAAAAGGTCACTTCTTAAGTTCAGCTAAAATGAATTTTTCTTAGAAACAATTTTATTTACTTTTGTACTCTTCAACTTTTTTTGCTTCCTATTTAGTTAAATAAATTGAAAAGTGCACTTTTTAATTGAACACTTAAAATTATTCATGCTTTCCTGGACAACTGAGGGCGCTGTTGCTAAGAAGTCATCCTAGGAAGGCAAATTCAGTGCATAGTTTGCTCTGTTCAAATTGCAAATCCAGAATTTATTCACTGAAAACATTTCTGAGAAAGGGATTGATACTTGTTTTATACTGATATGCACATAACCAACTATGAATCACCAAAGAAGAGAAATTTTCGTACAGCAAATTTCACAAAAATGCAGCACTTTTTTGTGTCCAAACCAATGTAAGATATGTATTGAGGCTTTCTTCCTGGAATGACATCATAGATTTGTACCTGAATATAAAAATACTCATCAGCATGAAAACCAAACAGGCAGTAAAAGACCCTTTGAAACAGTGAAACAAAAGTTGAAAATAAGGTTAGCTGAGACACAAAGGTGCACTTTGAAGGTTTGTAGTGACACAAATTGATTGCAGCTACCGCTTTTAATGGAGACCTGGTGATCAGTACTGATTTGTGGCTTTCTTAACCCTAACCCCTAGGGTGTAGGGGTTTGTAAAATCATATTTAAATGGAAGGATTTGAGACTGTTAGGGTTAATTGAGTGGCTGTCCACTCAAAAATTAAAAAAAAAATTTCACACAATATTTTCACAGCCTACTCAGAACTTTTAAAATGTGACCAAGTTCAATTCTTGAAAATGGTCTTCTACAGCTAACTTTCCAACCTGAATCCAGAAACAGGTTCTGCACTTGCAGAGTGGGTTGCACATGTGGATGCTCTGCATTTAGACACAATTCTGATCCTAAGACTGCTATATCATTGCTATTAGCCAACAGTTGTTGCAATCATTTTAACAAAACTTAATATCAGTTTTATAATTTTAATCCAACACAACTTGAATCACTCTGGCACCAGGCAAGAAGAGACAGGTTGATGGGAATCACTAAGTTTCCAGCACACAAATGGAGTCGGAAAATCCCAACATAGATAGGTTGCATGTGCTCAGCATGTCCTGCATCAAACTCACATCATCTGTGTGTACATTGTACATGTGGTGATTTCCCATCACAGGAATGAAATTGAAAAAACATGCAACCTCTGGCTTTTCCAGTGCCATTACCTCGTCGGCACTGGTTTGGGAACAAATCTGTGATTAGGTCCCAATTTCTTGCAAGAGCGCCCTCACAGGGTAATGCTCACGCACTTCCTGGTGTATTATTGGCATGCGTACCTTCCACTGGTGATTGCAGGGGTGCTTTGTCTATGTCTGCCAGACACGGCATGGTGACGGTTGTATCGCTGCGTTCGTTCTCTCCACTCACTGTTGAAAGCATCGGCCTCAGCTGTGAAGGACAAATTCAAGAATTAAAAACGAAACCCCAAACAACTCACAGCGTGTGGCTTTTTTATGGCTTGTGTCTTGTATCGGATGCAGGAACTCTCAAAATAAAATGGTGAACAGTGTACATGTACTTCGACAACAAGAATCTGAGGTCATTACTACAGTGGCAAATCGCTCATGGACAGGTGGTACAAATGCGTTACATGCCTCTTCAACCAATACGGTGTTGTGATTGGCCAAATGCACGCACACATCAAGCCGAAGAATGTGCGTGTGAGTGTGGTGCCAGCACAGTAATGGCATCTAATCTGAGTTGTCTATCATGTGGATTGCCTATTTGATCTTGAAGCAGCTCTGGTGTATCAGTACAGTGTTCATTCTTCTTCACGCTCTTGCAACTCAATTCATCGTGAGATTTAACTTGAATAGGAGTGAATCAACGGTACCTGCAGTGCAGTGAGCCAGTTTGGTACAGAGTACCGAAGTGAGTAGGTCACAAGCACACTTATGTGTGTAAAAAGCATGAGCAGGAGTACCTGTGAGTGAATCAATGCATGCGCACTCCATTCCTTTGTGCGGCATCAACTGGTTCTAAATGACGTTTTGGTACTCTATTTCAAAAAGCCCAGGGCTTTCAGGAACAAAGAGCATACGTGAGCCAACTTATGGCAGCGACAATAGGACAATCTATTGTGTGCATGGGTAGCTGCTCCCAAAGAGCCTTGGAGTGGGCATGCGCTGTTGGAATACTGAACTGGCTCATTATTCTGAAATGCTGAAAAGAACAGTGTCTTTTTACTTTTTATGCTAAAATGAATTCTCCCATTCATGAGCAGCTCTGTTATTGTTCTTGTGTGTTGCATTCGGAATTCATAGAGAGTACATAAATTCCGCTTGTTTTATTCTGTTCTATAAATAAGCAAATGAATTCAAAACATCTAAGCCCAGGTGGCATCTAAGCTTCGCAGTGCGAGAAATGACGAGTTAGCGTTCTGGTAGTTCAGTATGACTGTATGGTTTTCCCTGACTGAAACCATGGCAACAACATCTTCAACTGCTTGGATAATTTGAAATGATTCAAAAAGTGCCCTTTTCAATACACCTAACCCCAAATAGATGTCAAATAGTTTTCATATACTGAAGGAGCATATAAAGATGCGAGAAGGGTACATTATGTCTAAAGAGAAAAATCTTAAAACTAGTGTCTACACACTCTCATCCAGGTTGGTGAAATCTTGCTTCTGTTCCATCTGGCCTGTACGTGAGTTCCGTGATCGCTCAACGACGTGGGCACGATCCCCTAGAGAAATGAGAATCACTTGGTCATAGAGCACATACAGTCCAAGCTAAGCAGACTGGACAAGATACATGTATGGGGTATTCTTTTCTGAGCAGTCCAATAAGAAACATGCCAAAATCACACATGTACACTTTGAAGGGGTTTAGTCTGTGGCAGGCAACAGAGGGGTTTATAAACTATGGTTGCTACGTTTAAGAGAAAAGCTGTACATTTTTTTTGTCGAGGCCAAAAAGCACATTTAAGAAAAACTGGACAAAACTACAATGTACTTAAGATTTAATTTTAACGGGTCTTGAAATGGGCAGTGTTTAAAGAATGAATTTTTCATGCTATTATTATTGTTATTTCTGCTTTACCCATTACACAGTTTGTGCCTAATATGATTTAGGTTTCTGAAATATTTGCTGTCCCTAAACAGTGTCACAGTTTCCAATTTTTGTTTAAAATTAATTTAGTACCTTTATTTATTTTCACACTCTCTGTTCAGTTTATTAGAAATTTTGGTATTTGTCATTATCTTTTACAGTCATTTTTATTATAAGTCCAATCTTGCTGTTTTATGTGTGTTTTTACATGTATACCTCTTCAAGTTTGGATTGACAGGTTTTAGAGTCACAGTGTTTGTTTATACTTTTGTAAGTCCCGGCCAACTTGGATGGGTTTGTTTTTGTTTAGTTTGTTTACTTGTTTATGTTTTTTGTTTGTATTTTGGAATTGCATGTTGCTTGTATTCCGTTGATGGCTGAATAAATAATAATAAAAATATTACGACCACTTTTAAAATAGTCAGGCATATTCAACTCATATTTTCACTTTCTGAGCAGATAATTGTGCCATTAACAGTAAAAAATGCCTTCCACTTGATTTCCCCCAGCACACAGACACGTATGGGAAATTTGACTGATTTTGACTGATATGACAACTGTGTCAAGAATGCAACTTAGCGTAGGAGGATTAATACTACAAGAAGAAATAAAACAGTGCCACCTTTGAAGATGCATAACGAATTGCGTACTACTCTATGTTCAGCAAACTCTCTAAAGTCACAAACTATGGAGGGCCTGACGTTTGGATCCCAGCAGAATGTTTCTGAAGTCATTTAGACATACCAAACAGCACCTCACAGCACCTGTGTCATGGTCAATACTTCCTACGACCATCAGACCTACTCAAGGCCTCCAGTGTGAATTCAAGTCATGATCTATTGACATGACCTGCTACAAAAACATTCCTTTGTCTTCATTCACCCTGTTACTTGGAACTGGTCTTCTATTAGTCTCAACTGCAATACTGGACAGTCCATTTGCGCTGCTTTATACTTACCAAGGTGATGACCGACAGCCATCCTTTCCAGTCCTACCTCACTATCTCGCACTGAGCGCCGTGTTTCTTTCACCTGCACATGTGAAAGCAATTGGGACATTTCAACTTGAAACCACTCTGAACCCTACAGGACTGCGCAAGAACACCAGAAAGAGATAATACAACACGAATGCTTGCATCAGGAGGAAAATCCAGCCAGATCATGTTTATTAACATTGCAATGGATCTTCTTGAGGTAGCCATTTTTGATCTGGTTCATCAAATCTGTTTTCCAAATTGTTAACTGTTGCATGGAATCAGATTATTTTAGAATTCATGAGGGTTCCAAACCTTCCTTTTAATTTGTTTTCAAATCTGGCAAAGGCAAAGCAAATCTGACGCTTCAAAACTATCCCAGCAAAAATTCACTTGAAGTGAAATGTGTTCAACTTTTGACCATTTGTAGCAGATATGGGATCCGATGTCCAAATTTGGCATTAGTAATCACTTTCTAGCCAAGTGAGAACCAGGCCCTTAACATACCCCTCCTGGTGCCTTTCTGGTTGAGGATGTGGCCTGGTAGACCTTGGGTGCCCCATTGCCATCAGAGGAGTAGCTAGTGAAAGAAGAATGGGAGAAGGAGTGGACATCGGGGCTGTTGGCCATGTTCTCCTGCATCAAATACATCATACAATTTGTTCATGGCATATTTTTCATTATAACAACTTAAAATACCTCAAGTCTGATTTTTTACCTTAATTCTAGGAAGTAAATAACATATATTTAGTTGTTACAGTTTGTACCTTGATATCCCCTACTAATGAATTCTCACGGTATAGTATCCGTATCCTGACATATTCAATAACGTGCGAAAAAAAATGCAAAACCAGACTGTTTGCTTGTAGTCAATAGAGGGCGCTACACCTGTAGCAACATCTTTGTTTTCTGTGGTTTTAATGCGAACAGTACAGGCCCTGTATCTGCATTATTTTTATCCTGTTATAAATGTACACACAACATGAAGCCAGACGATATTCTTGATTTATTATGGTGTGCCAGCAAATTGGTGATCAGTGCATTTTCCGTGGCTGCTGCGGACTGAAACAAGCACCGAAAATGCAGATTTTTTTTTTCATGGCCAGGTTAATACAAAACATGGAAATCCACGGATCAAATGAAAAACTGCATGCCTGATTTCAGCCACAATAAAATAGCACGTACCACTGATGTGTACATGTGTAGTTATACTAACGCTATAGAATACCGAAGTCCGACGTCATCTAGAACCACACAGTGCTGTACAAATGAATGGAGTACCGTACATGCACGTTTTGGTTCGTGCACTGGTTCTCTCACAAATACCTTTTATGACACACATACTGTTTTTTTGCTTGTGACGCATTTGTTTCAGTCTTTATTTGAACAAAAACCTTGCACTATGCATGTACATGTAGGCCTAGCTGTTGTGTACGTGTACACGTGAGACGTACATATACACAGAATGCCACATCAGTGGACACATATATTTCTATCCATTTCTAGGGTCAAATATCTGCATAAGGTTAACCATTTAAGAATCAAAGCTGATAAAGTAGCAAAATGAAGCAACCTACACATGTACAACTCCACGATCCTCATTAACATGTATACTCACAAAGTTACGATGCATATTGGCCATCATGGTCTGCATGTTACTAAACATATTCCCAAAGCCCATGCCAAAAGGTTCCTCCATGCCGAAAGGCTGCAGTGCCTGTGAGGTCAGAAAAAAAGGTAAGATGGATCATCAACAGTGCCAAACAGCATCTGCTCACAACTTTTACCGAGTCCAGGAAGATCTGGCATGTCTGAATGCCAAATTCTGGGCACAACGTGACCCTCAACAGTGACAAAAAATAAGGTTGAATGGACATCTGAATTCCAATGGCATAAGGTACCCGGTCTCCTGGTAACGACTCTATAGGATTTGTACACAAATGTGCAAGAACATTGACCGTGCAATTGTCAGCTTAACACTGAAAGAGTACACCTGCACATTATACATGTAACTGAAGTACCAAACTGGTCATCAGACTGCAGTGTTGAAGGCAGCCATCCTTGTTACTAATCAGCAACCTTTTTGTAGTCAATCCATGCATCTGTTTCATGAACGACTCGCAGCTTTAGCAATAGGGGCACTCTTCACATCACTGCATACACACTATAACGTGAGTTCACATATTCAGAATTCATACATCGACACCCAATGATTATTCAGCACTGCTAAGGAAAACAAAACACCAAAACAAAAAAGGGTTCTTATTCCTCGAAGCAAAAGAAAATGGATGGTATGTGGAGGTGAGAATTTTTCTTTTACAGATTCAGTGCGGGGCTAAGCAGTAACCGGTTTAAAATATCAACATCGAGACAGGTCTGACGGCACTTATTTCAAATGAAATGAACCTATGATCTTTAAACAATACTACCAGTGTGCAGAAATAAATCCATTGAAAATTTATGCACCACTGCATTCAAACTACAATAGACACTTTTTTCTGTAATTCAAATATCACATTTTCCCCAAATTTCTCCCATCCCCCCAAAAAAGAGCCTGTAATGTTTTGTTGTCGAAATTGTGTAAGTCCGGAAACAGGAAATGTAATTCTTTTTTGGCTCGGCAGAAAATTCAGCTCAGCAAGTATAGAAGTTAAGCAAAAACCAGTAAGGAACTAGTCGAAAGAAATATGACATGTTAACAGGTATTAAGCTACGTACATGTATGTGTACTTTTGCTGAGCCAAAAATTGGTGTGCTAGGAACATTTTGTGCTTGGCTGCATGATGGAATTGGCTTCAACAGCATCCCATATTTTTACCTGTCTGTCATAGTTACGGTGTGCACGTCCTGTCCCATCAAAGTGGTCTTGACCCCTACCTCCTTCCAACGCCATGAATGGGCTAAACCCAAAGGATGGACTGAACACAGGCTGCATACGTTGCATGTGGCGTCTGTGCATGTCATGCATGTCACTGTAACAAAATCACATTGAAAAGACTGCTGGACTTACTCAAGCAGCGCCAGTGTATGTATGTACAATGTACATGTACACACTGTATAGGGTTTTACAATACACCGATGTACAAGTACACCAATAACTGTGATGAGATAACTAGGCATATGTACAAATGTTGCTATATTGGGAAAATGAATAATCTTGATCAGAATTCAGGCATCAAAAGTCCAAATCTATGAAATCAGGTACGCTCCCAGTGCACGTACATGTATTTCACATAACACACCAGTACAAAATGCAGAGGCCTCCAAATTGTCAATTTGTAAACTTAAATTATGATTTTGAAAGAACTGGAAACATTTAGAGTTGACAAATGCATGTACGTGTACGTGTATGGGTAATGCGCATGGATAGCATACAAACAAACGTGTACATCACCTACATGTACATGTACATTGCAAGTGTAAGTTTTACACATTTTTCCACTGATACACAAGGCCTGGTGGAATTTTCAAGCAAACAAAGTGGCCCAAACTTGTACTCCCAGATGGCTACAAATGTATTAAAAACTACTTTCAAAAACTGCGTCTTTCAAAACAAGAACGAAAACCAAATACTATAGTTGAAAATACCGCAATTCTTTCTTGAAGTGCCAAAGGGATTAGGAAATTTCTGTGACCTACCTGAAAAATGGGTCTTCGTCAAAATCCCTGAACATTGAGCCAAACATCATGGACAGAATGTGACGACAAAACAAGACCTGGAAAAAAATGATTTCTCATTGAAATGGACTGTATTTTCTGCATCTTCCAGACTGGTCACTCCTGCACAAAATCTCCATCTCTACTTGTACAATCTTTCACCACAAAGTCTCACAAAATTCAACAAGAAGTTCATCAGGTACGGTACCAAACCTCACAAAACCTGCTGTTAGGGTATGGCAGCTTTGGGGTCATGGTATTTGCTAACATTACAAATTGCACGATAAACATTAAAAAATACGAAATCCTGACTGAAAAGAAAAGGCCTATGTGTGGCAAGATGAAACTGGTGTCTGAGCATCTCTACAGGGGCATCCTACCGATACCACAAGAAACCAAGATTAAGATACAGGGGGTGGGGCTAGACATGGGAGCGGGGGAACGGAAACAGTTCCATACATGGACATCACTTGACACCTTGTCCACAAACTCTATGAGACTGGTCTGCCAAATTCTGTTTCCTAAGTATGTGTATATACTTAGATTCTCCCCAACTAAACTGGACTAGTTAGGATACATAGTATGTTAGCACTTTCTGATGGGTAAGAAACCACTGCAAGGGTAAATGAGTGATGTCTGTATACATGTACATAAACTCTTGCCTTGGAGAAGAAATGGGAAACAACAGAGGAAGCAAGAAGGGAGGAATTGAACAAAGGGAGGGGGGAGCTGGAATGGGATACATGTATGCTCCCACATGTATTTGTGAGCCTTGGATTTCTCAGTCAGCTTCACTCACCTGAGAAGCTCATTGATTAGCCCTTAACTGCAATACATGTACATGTACCTCAACTTTTCCTGATCGGGAAATTTGGGTCTCCGTACTACCATTTATTCCTACACAAATCATTCCCGATTGTTCAACCAGCAACAAACACAACAAGGATATTCTTGATCTTGGAACCAGACAATGTTAAATAGTAGGTCCCAAGAGCATGGTCATGTTAAAGAACCTGTAATGTTGGTGATCATACCGTACATGTTCATGTACACTGTACATGCTCTCCTCGGGACTGAGTGGGAAATTACTGTTGCCCCATGCACGTACATGTCAAATTCTCTCAAATCATGGTCAAATTTACTCGTTAAATCCCCACTGCACATGCTTGATACAAAATAATTTATAAACATCTATTAGGATCCACATGTATACATTGTGTACATGTATTTATCACTGTCTGCACGGTTCCTAGACCAGACAGATTCCTACTGTGTTTACTGCCTGTTCTAAAGTACAACCAGGAATGATCAGTGTTTAAAATGAATGGTGCCGACAATGTTATTGTTGAGATAATAAAGACAAAAATTTCACCAACAGCGAAAGTCGGCCAGCTTGGTTGAATCAATAAACTACATGTAGGTTCAGTGAGAAAAGCCTTTTGAAAAATATGGGCAGATGGGATAAACTAGTTTTGTTTGTTACCTAGAATTTCCAGTATCAGTCCACTGCAGTCCCTCCTACACGCCGCACGGCTGCACGTACATGTACACCGTAGGCTTTCGATTCAAAGGCAATGCCCCAAAACTAAAACATTGCAAATTTGCTGGAAAAACTGTTCCAGTTTGTGAAATTTTGGCCTCTTAACAGGCTCTACTTGTGACCCACCATCCCCAAACAAGGCTGAAGTAGGTACCTTCATTTCCCTGAAAATGTGGAAATTCTACTGCTCATGTCTCCATGGAAGTTTCACACCTATTACAATCTGTGTAAACCTTCTAGCAGACAGAATTTAGATTTGACATGGATCACTTTGAAGTGTGAAACAAAGGTGAAATAGAGAAATTGTCAAGCATCCCAGTTACCGACTTCAGCCTGGTTTGGGGATGGTGGGTCACATTTTTTTCAATGAGTCAATCACACCAATGCCACTTATTTACTAGTTGTCTAGGGCAAGGCTGGCTAGCCGTGCTTCATAGGCCTTTCTTAATATTTATGCAAATTTATTCCCGGCAACTGGAAACAAGGCTGTAAGGGACTTGCGTGTCACAACAGCTGTAAATGGAAGAGATAGAGCTGGTTCCTGAGATAGCCTTCGGATTAAGGGAGAATTGCATCAAAAAGGCTCCAAAAGCAGTGGATAGCAACAGCTTGGTAAAGGCTTCAAGTATTTTTCAGAAGCCTGCATTCATAATCTGAAGGGCAATAAGCAGTTTATTAATGGGATTTTATCTGGGACTTTTTTGTTGATGTTGCATGTATGCACCGTTTGATGTCTTGGACATTGAGCAGTTTGAACAGTTTTATGTCATTCGCCAGGTTACCTTTAATGACTGGGCTATTTCCTTTTGAAGTTCAGTATTCTATATATGTAGATGCTTATTCGAAAATTACAGATGTTTAGTTCAGTATGCTGGGTGCAATCTAGCCCCACATGTAGGGCTTTGTACGGTTTTGGCAAGCTTTTACATGTGTATTAACCCTAACACTCCTCAATCCTTCACCTGTTGGAGGACTGAGGAGTGTTAGGGTTAAGGTACTCGTATAAAAGTCCAAACTCCGAGGAATACACCAGTGTGAGTAAAATTGTCGAGTCATTCTCATTTCAGAAGATATCAAGATTCAAAGTTTGTGACAATCCTGCAGTTCATACCTTGAAGTAGGGCTGAGATGGGGACAGGAAGAATTTCAATATGTCACAGCTACCAAACCGTTGCACTGCTTAGCAAACAGTCATCGACGTGCATGAGCCAACACAGTATGCTTTCTGTGAATGGTCAGCTAGGCTGACGCGCAATGACGCTGTCAATAGGACATCAACATTAAAATCGCTCTTTGAGAAAAGATGGCGTCTTCGAGCTCAACAATTGACATTTCCACTTTGAAGGGGATATTTCTGTTCTCTTCCCACATGTCAGTAAACCATATTATCATTATGGAAACCCTGATAAAATCCATAGACAAAGACGGGTGCATTAATCATGTTAATTTATATGATTTACAGACAGTTTTAATTCAGAGGATTTGACTCGGGGTACGAGCTATTCTGAGTGAAATGAATTCATGGAAGCAAAAGCCTAGGCTATGGAATTGGAAAGTACTTGGACCTGGCCCCACTAGTGTGGCACGGACTCTTCACTCCCGAGAGTCCTTGCCACACTAGTGGGGCTAACTTGGACCCTGCTATCGCCTGACCAGGTCCAAATGTTTAAAAGGCGATTTATAGGGTCCTAGTTAATCGGACTAGGGGCATACTATGATGTAGGCCTACATGTACATCAGATCATGGACATGATGGACACTGATGCCAGGTTTTCTGTCCATGATCTGATGACACAACCTACCGAGTAAGCCCGATGAAAAAGTTGCCTGTCTCAGAACTCTATCTGTCCTTGTCCCTCTTAGGCTTTACCAGAGGGGAAAAAGACTCTTCAAATTTCAATACAGCCAATTAAACGCTAGCCGTCCTGAACAGCAATTACGACTAGCTTCTCGCAATTTCCTTACTTTGTAACTCAGTCACTGTTGATGGAATTACAGATTGTGTCACTGTGTTTACTGAGAGACAGTCTGGTACACGCATTCGCGTCATAATACGTGCACACACATTATCCCGTAAAGCACACATTTTACAACGAGAGGCCGTTTACCCGACCAATTATATAGCGCCCCCTTGTGGCTCGGACACAGGTCTACATGTACGTACCGACGTATATTATAAAAAGCCAGCCCTTGCAACGCCTTTGTACGACAAAGAAGCCAACCAGAGGCCATTTGTTTACCGAGCCAAATAAAAAAGCGCGGGTTGGCTCCTTTCTATTGACGTCAGGAAGAACAAAGGCGGGCATTGCCAGGAAAGCTTTGTATTCGGCTCGGTAAAATGGCCGCGATTGGATTCAATGACTCTATAAGCATTGCAAGTCCAGATTTCCAGATTTCAACAGGGGAAGCTTTCTTGGGGACAAGTCTAGTCTCCTTTCAAGAACCATTTTCCGATCCCCAGACAGTTATATACAAAACAAGCTATTATTAGTATTTATTCATGCCACTTTTTCCATCACATACATGAGGGGCATAGGAGAAGCAAAAGCGATTACAGTCACTATGATCAAAGACCTGCCACTCCTCAGTCATCAAGTTGTGTACGGAGTAAGTAAATAAAAATACTATTATTTAAATGTATTTCAAGCCGAAGGTTAATAACTTTAAAATATTTAGATATAAAAGAAAAGTAATTACTTGAAATTAATAAAGATAATGTACGCAATCGAATATGAACTTGAATAAAGTATAAGCAATTAATGATAAAAGGACATAAAATAAGTGTAATGAAAGACTGAATGATAATTGGCAAACAGGAGGTTGATAAAGTACTTAAAATGAGAAAACCTGCTGCTCCTCAACAAGGTATGGGTAAAGTAAATAAATAAAATAAATAAGAATAAATAAAAATAGAACATACAAATATTTTAATATAAAATAAATAAAAGAGATGACTCACTGGAAATGAATAAAAGTGGAAAGGAAAAAGAATGATGTACAAAATTGAATGAATTAAATGAATTAAGCAAATAAGCAATTAGCAATAAAGACACAACAAATACAGAAATATATGTATAGGAGAAGAGTTGAAAACAATGGTTTTGATGAGAATAAGTGTGCGATTTGCAGAAGAAATTACATACATAACATGATCGTTCCAAGATAGCTGAGCATTCATAGTAACTACAAGATATTTGACCGATTATACCGCTGTCAGTGAGATACCCGAAAGAAGATAAGGGAGCGATTGGTGTCGTTTGCGGGAGATGTGCATAAGTTTAGATTTACTGGCATTGAAGGCCATACCGTTGGAATGACTCCAAACACTCAGCTTATCAAGGTCCTGCTGGAGAGTGCAAACATCAGAATGAGCATGAACTTTACAGTACAATCATCAGCGAATAAAGCACAATCAGAATTAATATTATGGACGATGTCATTGACGAATATGTTAAATAAGAAGAGGTCCATGCACATGTACAACGTTTTTCCTCATCTATGTTGGCAAACTTAATCCTACGTTACTCGGCGTACGGGATTGGCACGCGTCGACCTTCCCAGACCCTCGAGCCTCAGCCTAAATAAGATACGAGTCCCACTCACAAGTCCGAGTCGGCATGACCACCCTCACAGTGCGCTCACTGAGCTCCATAGCTAGAAGTACCCACGTCGAGTCGACTTGACTCGACAGTTGAGTTGTCATTCGGTTTGACGCACAGACGGGTCGAAGTGTCCCAACGGTCGAATTGTCTTAATGGTCGAGTTGCCCCAAAGGACGAGTTGTCTGAACCCCCTGTGATGGCGCATCCTATAAACATGCATTCGGGAACTAGCTGTATGCGCGTGCGATGTCCGAGTCTGTCCCATCAGCCCAGCCATATTGGTCGCCCACCACGAAAAGGGCGCTATGATGAGAAGGGCAAATTCGTTTTAATTTTATAAATTTGTGAAGAGGAAATGGGTCACAATGGGGACACAGCTAACTGCAGACTTGCGGAGCCTGGATTGATAGCTGCAAGCTTGAATTGTGTTAGTACGGGTGGCTCAATGTATGTAAAACACACACACAAACCAATACAACCCGACAAACAAACAAAAAACCTGACGATGTCCAGCACAGTTACACCAGTCAAAGTTGCGATCGAAATGTTTGTGATGTGAGGAATACAGTGCCATTCCTGCTCAAAAAAATCAGTTAAATTTAAACGTTACTCAGCAAGCAGTTCGGGAACCGAGCGAACGAGACCTATAGCTGGTAAAATGTGCGGAAAACTCGATCCGTACATCTGTGGGCACTGAATCATACATGCATGCACAAACAATTACGAGACGCGAATGGGATCGGAAACCTCGTATGGCAGAACGAAGTGATGACTTCCCAACCACAGTTTTACAATGATTTGGCCGATGAGTGTTCGAAACGATTTGCCCTTTCCTGAGCCCTGTATGCTGCGCAGTGGTGACCCTTTATTGCAGTTGGGCAACGATCGACTCGCCTGGACGAGGTCTACACAAACAATGATTTTTGGGCTTTATAGGCATCAAAATTCTGTGACGTCAGTTCTGTAACAACAAACACCAATAAGGCAGAAGTTTTTCATTTTGCACAGGGAACCAATCTCATGTGGACAGAAACTTTCTTTGTACGGTTTACAACGTCAAATTGATACCGTTGGAGGACGTTCCCATAGACTGTGTGTAAACATGACACCCTTTAACTGAAAAGACCAAACCCTAACACAACCAAAAGTGCTTAGTTGATTGGTTAAATGTTTGAATATTCACGTTTGAAAGAAACCATTCATGTTGACATTGGAAACTAACATTGTAGGACTTGAACCTATAAAAAACGGCGCTTCCTTCCTGTGCTCAGTTTCAATCATAGAAACCTTAATTTTTCTGCAGTTTGATAACAAACACACTATAAATGAGTAAAAAACATGACATTTATTATCAAAGTGGTGCCATAATTAGTTTAACCTTGCATATTCTAATCAAATTTAACGTATATTTTGCAATTTTAAATTACAGCAAATGCAAATCAATACTCACTTGGAAGAGTCACGGTAAAGGCGAATTTTCAGCGAATAAAAATGCACATTTGTTGTAATTGGCAAGGAATACGTAAATCCGAAATCCTAATCATGAAACGTAATGCACATTCGATGATTTGAAGGATACAAAACGAAGTAGATTGCTTGTCATAGCGTAAATGAAACCAGGTTATAAGTCGTTTTCAAAATCTACGCTAAACTGAAATTTTACTTTACAAAATAGATCGCGCCATTTTCCGAGAGTTTGGGAGGGGGAGCCACCTGTCGTATACCCTAGATTGACCTTCAATAAAAGATATTGCAGATAGGCAACGTACCCCCCCCAAAAAAATCAGTTTTTGATTGATTATTGATCTATTAAACTTAAGAATCACATACGTGTATCTTTGTATATACACTATGCTTAAGACTAAGCGCATTTGGAAGTGTTAATTAAAATTTGAGTAAGGGTACCAATACGACCGGGAATCCATAAAACAAACAAAAAATCATCCATATATCATGGCCTTTTATTTGCTTGCTAGCTTAATGCTTATTTAATGCAAACAAACATTTACATAATACATGTATTGTTTCATCAACAAAACTTGCCGGTTCTGTGTTCATACAACGTCAATATTATTATAAAACAACTATATAAGATACGAATATTGTTCCACATCGATAAGACGTTGGTTTTCCTTACAAGCTTTCAAATTTATTTTTTGTCCATGTTCACAAAAATTGTAGCGAGATATGACATGACAATAAGCTTGTTGTGGACGTAAATTTTGAATTTAAATTTCACTTTGAAATGATTTCAAATTCTTCTTAACAGTTTAACCTTCATACAATATATCCGGGCTACTTTTGACATCTCGTCATATTTAGTGGAAAAGGAAGATACACCAACGCTCTGATATAGCAGTACATTCCATGCAGTCCCCTGTAGCGCAAACGGGGGGGGGGGCTTTAGCGCCGAGAGCTATTTTTTGTCGTATGTTGGGAGAGGGTTCAAATATACCCCCAAAAATAGCTCCTGACGCTCAAGCCCCCCCCCGTTTGCTCTACAGGGAATGGAATCTACTTCTATATCAGAGCGTTGGTGTATCTTCCTTTCTCACTAAATAAAAAGGAAAACCTGGGAGAAGCTCCCGAGCCCTAGCCCCCTTGGGTGAGCCACTTGTGTAAATTTGCGATATGGAAAACCCCTTTCTTCACTGATATCAGCCAGAATGTGTCAACAAAGGGCCTCTTGCAAGTTTTGCTTGCATGGACTAACCAAAAAAAGGACTGCAAGCAGACACAATGATGAAAGCCGAGGTGACAGACACAACTTTACTTGCTCATTTATTGATTATCCCGACTGGCGTTAACATTACCAGAGACCAGACGTCACAAGGGTACGTTATTCCAAGCACTTTCGGATGGCTCAAAACTTAATAGCTTCATTGCACTTTCTGCATGCAATTTACTCTCCGGCATAGTTTTCATTGTTCTATGAAAATATGTTTACCGTTCCCCTTGTGGCAGCTGTTGCCTCTGCTATTTCTGCTTATGTCGCATATAACTTCTACCCAAAACTACAAAATAATAAAGCTCACATAATTGGTATAAATATCCTAAATTTATCACAATTGCATAGCTAACATTTCAGTATTCGCTCTCTTTCAGTTATGGTATATTGTGAACATTCAAAGCAACAGTCGACCTTGCAAAAAGTTCATAACAAAACTGAAACGAAATTTCCATAATCCTCAAAATAGTGTCGGAACTTGGACAGAAACATGTTGACTTCCTTTCAGTAAAGTATATTGTCTATATTTCTAACTACAGGTATTGTGACAAATCTATAAAAACTATACTGATAATGACATCTGTTAGCTCACAACTTTGCTGATAGAGTTGCTACAAATGGATCTGAATCTATATAGGCTTCATGACAAATGATGATGAAGTTTGAAAAGGAAAAACGTATATACTTGCAAAATTAGTTCCAAAAACGTGAAACTTCAATTCTGACTTTTTCTACGCATTTGAATTGTATAGGAATTTACATGCTTATGATTCAATGTGACCAAATTTCTGGATTGCATTGCAAGAAATTGCGTTTTAAAGCTCAATTAATGCCGCTTATATGAAAGCAAATCTTGCGAAAATGAAAATTCCATCTACTCGTGTTAACTACTTACCTCTAAGCGCACAAAAATATTTTTTTAAGACAACATTTCGTGAAGTTGAATATTTTGGTTTTCTATTCCTCGGGGCACGTTTCCTTCGTACATACACCTTGCTCCTCATCTCGGTCATTTTCCGTCTCTCTTACATCATTGGCCCCTTGACAATTTTTGGCCTCATCTAGAAAAGTACCAACAAAAAACCTTATCAACATTTGTCAGTGTCATGTTGAGTCTGGTTCCTACTTACAGACAAACGCGAACGCAAAGCGAATTTGACGTAACGAACTGGTTGCAGCGAAATTCTTCTGAATTCAAATGTGTTTCACCTTTACAACTTTGTAACACGAATATTCATTATCAGACCTCTTAATTTCGCGTCCATGTTCGCTTATAGCGCCGGAAGAGCCATTTTTCACACTTTGAAACCGGAGAGATTACGCCCCCTTTTGGTGTCGATCGCAAAAGGGCTGAATTTAATGAAAGTTGACCTGAACGTAACTTAGCATAATACTTTCTACATCTCTTCAGTCTTTTTTGTGATTTTGTGTTTCCTGTCAGCGCAATACATTAAAACTCTGTGTAGGCCTACCGCGTAGAACATTACCCGAACGTTGGTTATAAAACCTTCGAGTTACAAGTTAAACTCTTATAAAAAGAAATTTGATTGGAGAGACAACACTTACATATAATATTGCAAGTTCTTTATTGTAATAAATTATTTAGATATACTTCTGGGGAAGAGATAGACCTTCGAAATGGGTAATCTGTGTTAACGCGGCCGTTGGATTTTAACTACAAAATTATGATATGATTTCTGCGCACTGACAACGAACAAAACATTAATGAGCTTTGTGTTTGAGCAAGTATCATTACAATAAGTTTTGTTTGTAACACATGAAAGACCAGGAACTGGATTTTCCTCCGCAGATAATTGATTTCAAAGATTACAGTACATTTTATGGATTGCTGTCATATCAACCCTGCCGCCGACAAAAGCTAACTGCTTCGAAAAAGTTCATTTGCGGGATCTCTGGTTTATACAGATATATATTATTATATATATATATTATTCTTTCGCTCGTAGGCCCGTTTCATGGTTCACGCGACAGTGAACACACTCGCCAAGTTTATGAAGAAAATTAAATACTTTTCAATTCGAGTGAAATTTTATTGCAAATCTTTTGATGCGTGTCAAATTCACTTCTCTTTCAGATTCGCCGGTAGTGTGAACCTCGGCCTTAAAACAAACTGCTCGTTTTAATCGATGGCCGTCGGTGGCCATTCATTTGCTGCGGTTTGTTACAAATCTAAAGGCGGCCACGTTACGCATGCAAACGCTTTTCAAATACCATCCAGTTTACGTGGCCCATCAGCTAACAACGAATGTCTGTGTTTGAACCGAACAAGCCCCGTACAGTAAAACTCCAAATCAAAATGCTTATTGCGCACAAACTCACCGGCAATTTTTACTAGTTTTGGTATGAACTCGTTCCACATGAGGCACTCCTTAGCCTTGATGCCACGCCCATTTCCCATGGAGAGTGACAGGTCTTTGTAGGTGAGTTCTTCCAGGGTAAACAAGGGCCATTCCGGCAACTTCTCCTCCTCCCTCTGCTCCCCATCCAAGGAGGACAAGTTTGGATTGCTGAATAATGAAGGTACAATGGTATTGACTAAATGGGGGTTGTTTTGTAGGATTATCAATGAAAAATAAAAATTTCAAACTGTATGGAGGAAAAAGCTTTTATGCTTCGTGCGCTCTCCTCAGGTCGGAATCTGGAAAATACTGCCCCACGGTTAATCAGTAAGGAAGTATTTACCTTCACTTTCAGTACCACACAGACTTAATGGCCCTTGAAGGTTCATAAACACAACCATCGTCATTTTCTGTTGAAGTGATTCCAACTTTACATCTGCACATTTATAAACTTAAAACTACGAAGTATTCGTGCAAACGATTTACCGTTTGCTCGGCGCCAGTCGACTGCATTCGTATCATGTTGCGATTCACTCATATCTCCGACACAATTCAGGTCTATAAACCCCAAACCAAAGCGATCAAGTAGGCACTTAATACTGCTCTGCGACAGTGCGTGCGTAACTGCGTATAATATACACGGTGCATATATTTTTCTGTGATTTTACCTGATAGTTGGTTCATTATCTGCGTCATAATGCATAGAAACTGAGTCAAGGCGTCCAAGCCATTCAATTAGCTCACCCAGTCTTCGCTAGATTGGCCCAGTACTTGATGATCTGTTCCGACATGCGGGCCTCGTCTTCGGAAAAAGACCAGTTCGAAGAAGGTATGAGGGGCATTCCAAAGACAAACATGTAATCATCGCCGTGGGCAGCTTTGGTCCACTTTCTGCCCATGAGGGTGGTGGTAGCAGTGTGAGTCATTTGGTAGTGGTACACCGTACGTCCTGCTTTGGTAAAAGCTTTTGCCGTCTTTCTCCCAGAGCACACGAACATGACGTCACCGATTACCTGTGACAGGCTTTGTAGATAGTCGCAGTTCGAGGCGTCTCTGCAGGAGGCATTGGTGTACATCATCTTGACCGCCTCCAGAACGATTGGCTTGTAGCCATTCATCAAATCCAAGCTGTATTTTACAAGGCGTTCAAATGTATCACCATCGACAAATGGCGCCTCGTGGGTGTGATTTGGGAAGGAGAGCGCCACCATAATCGTACCTTCGTCGGCGAGAGCCCCGATTATCGATACGGCGTCGTTGATGGCGCCTTTTGCGTAGAGATCGTCTGGGCTAGCGGGGATTACTTCCCCATCAATAACTGGCGTGAAGGTCATCATGCCCGTTTCTTCCTGTAGATCCTGGGTCAAGTAAGATCCGTGAATTCAGTAATGAGAGTTTGGCTGACTAATAGGGTGTCATTACAATGCCTGGTACATGACATAACCCATTTCCAGTTTACAGTGTGCATGGTATAAGGCATTGTAACCTACACTTCACAGTCACCATCTGAATATGAAACAAGCGGCTTCCAGTAACATGAATATCAGAGATTCTGAACTGCATTATGTCTCGATTGCATTTGAACCCAAATAAACCCAAAACTGAAAATCGTTGTTGTAACCCGGTCGCTCTGGTTAGATTGAATTTCTGGTTCATCTTAGCCAAGATATTAAAGTCTAGTTACAACGTTTGGGTTTATACAACCTAATATGGGAAGATGCGGAACCTGCCAACTGCGAGGGTAAACATTTAACCCTGACAGAGCCGGGGCGGTATCAGTGGCGTAACTACAGGGGGGGGGTACGTTCCCCCAACGGAGGCCCGTGCCCTCGGATGCCCCCCCCCCATTTGAAATATTGAAATGGACAAAAATATATATAACTGGCATTCCAAGTCTGTGTTTCAGCTAGCATTTGCGTCCATTTATGTAGTTAGGCGTTTAGACAGGCACGTAGTTCAATTATTTTCATTGCCCCCTGAAACAAATTGTGCACCCCCAGGTGCCCCCTTAGCTGTAGCACCCTAGTTACGCCACTGGGCGGCATTCGCGCCTCTCCCTCAACACTTCTTCCCGATATCGTCGCAGTGAGCCTTTGGTTTTTAGACTACCTCTTTGCAGTCATTTTGACAGGAATTTTGTGAAAATCGAACAAGCTGTTCTTGTGGTCAGCCAAAAAATGTACTCTTTTCCCAATGTGGTGCTCATGTACCATTGAACTCCACATGACCGTAAAAACAAAACCATGGGTTTGATTGATTCAAAATTAAGATTTGTTTTGATAAGGAAAAGTTTTGACATGCACAACAATTAAAAAAAATCAACTGCGGCACAGTTGAGTCTGTAGACTGTGAGACAGGCCAAAAAACCTGACTCTTTAAATCTTGGGCATTGTCGTGTGTTGAAGTGCATATCGACTGCTCCAATTTCATATTCGTTCTGTGGTGCACATATTTCACCTAGACCCAAGTCAAGGTACTAGGTGTGCATGGGCCTCGAGCTGGACCAAGATAGGGCGCTATTTGCTAAGGTGGCTCGTTGATCTGAAATGAACTTCGCTGGATCACGAACGACTATTGCAGTCGCATCGCTGCTAACAAAATAAACAATCCCAACCAATATGTGACTGGCTCCACAGAAATGGGTATCATGGGACTTTTCTTCAAAATGAGTTACATACATAAATGTACACATTTGAATTGGTTATATTACGTGTTTAAGCTTTAATTTGGTGTAGGTCTGAACCCTGTGGCATTTTGCAATCTGGAGATATATTGATTTTTTAAATTGCTTTCAGAGATAAAGCCCTTTAAACACCGGAAGTGGAAAAAGAAATCAGCCAAGAAGAAAGTCTCTTGATACCCATAGCAACAGTTAGGTTTCTTGTATGAATTCTGAAAGTACTGATAAAATAGAAGCCAATAAACCAAGAAGTAAAACTCACCATCCACAAAAGAAAGCCCATTGTGTGAAATAGCACAGTGCCCTATAATACCCTTTTTCACAGTGCAGGTCACATATGGTTCTTTTCAACGGATGAGGGGGTGCTTCTGCTCGAGGTGGATAGTAACATGACAGATATTCTTGCTCAAGGCTTGAGAACGAAACTAACAGTGCAGGCCTGAGCTCAAACTCTGAATTCAAATCACTGTTTATTTATTTTTTATTTTCTGAATGCATGAACTGACTTAGGCTCAACCAACCTGATGTCCTTGGTTTTCAAGAAACGAATCGAAACCATCCACTTTCAGTAGACACTCCAGCAGTTCCTCCGATGATTGGCTGTCACACCCAACGAGCTTCCCAAGAACAAATGCCTGCCTGCGTGCCGTGCTAGGTGACATAGTGGCCCACGGGGCTGCGGCATCACCACTCTGTGTGCACACATAAGTTTCTTGACTGCAAGGTTTTATTTGCAATGTCAGGGTGTTGTACACAACGTGTCACGGTGTTGATGCTTCATATATAGGGAAGGGAGCTATGTGCGTCTCCAGTAAGAACGCCAAAAGTTACAGTTAACACTTTTGGGGACCAGTAAAATTGATACTTTTAAATTGTAATTAACAAAGGTCTCACTTTGTCACCAACATTTTACTCTTTATTTTGTTCTTTAAAAACAATCAAGCATGTCTAGGTGCCGAGAAAACGGAATCATTACTTCTGACACCGATGTAAGAATTCTCTGGTACATATTGCTTTGCAAGAGATTATTTTCCCCGCGAAGTCTATTCCGAAGCAGTTATTGAACCTTTAAATATAAATGTTTTCCCTTAAATGTACACCATGGACTTAGTGTGTATGTTTTACCACGATTTTGATATTTGCGAAGACGTACATGACAAAGATATTTTTTACTAGTTTCTTTTAAGGTGTCTATTTTCTAGTGACCAGATTAAATACCTGCAAGATGGTGCCACGGAAGAGCCCCGCACTGCCCGGTGACACCATGTGCAAACCCACACTACTACCTCCAGCACTTGCTCCAAAGATTGCCACTCGCTCAGGATTACCACCAAAAGCTAAGAGGAAGGAAAACACGTTGCCCATGAAGTCTATGCTTCATACTGCGCAACAGTTTACGTTTACACCCGAGGCGGAAGCCTGCCCCTATGGACATCATTGCTCCTACACTCTAAAAACACCTAGGTCAGACTGACCCGGAATTTGGGTCCCATGGGCCTGACCCTTTTCCGGGTCAAATTATGACCTTGATCCAGAAAGGGTCAAATATGACGCAAATGGGGGTCATAATTTGACCTGGAAATGGGCCAGGCCCATGGGACCCAATTCCGGGTCAGTCTGACCCAGGTGTTTTTAGAGTGTACAACTTTCCACAGTAACAATGGTGCCCCTAAAAGAATCGAAGGTAGGACGGAGTGTCGATATTTGTACAAGACAGCTGATTGCCAGAACCTACTGTTTGAACGTAAGCTTATTTGAAAAGTCGCTCAGGCTCTTGAATGAAGTGGATTATTACCGCACGGCGCAGACTGTCACCTCTCATGCACATAAAAATCCAGTATAATGTTCAATTTTGTTACAACGCAGAATTCCGTTACCACTCGCCTGGCATGAGTAAATCATCGACCAACAGACGGTTTAAAAAGGTTCCCAAGTGATGGGTTACGCCTCTCATAAAGTGCTGGCATATGATACGGAGAAGCATTTCAAACTAATCAGATTCAATGCACCCTGAAAATGCTTAAAGCAGTAGGAATTAAAGTCGACCTTTAACTTCCAAAAATAGGTCTACCTTGTCAAACTTCTTTAACAGGCATTATAAGTGCCAAATACACCCACTATTATCACAAACTCCCTGCCAGGAAAAGTGATTACCACTTCATACCAGTTGAGCTTTGTATATCGCAGAGATACTTCCACGATGACTATCCACGACGGAATCATTCAGTGCTTCAACGGACAAATTGTTACAGTATATCAACGAATCTGAAGTATTTGCACGACCAAAAAACAACTGGAACACCAGAATTTTTCGATTTCCCAGATAGCCGACATTTGGAGCAAATTGATTGCTCGCCGTACCTCTAATGTTGTCTCTCACCCACTGTAAAGCAAGACGTTGATCCAACAGTCCCATATTGCCTGAAATGATGTCATCACCTTTAAAGGGAAAGAAACAAAAGCGATTGCGTTAATTTTCTGTGGCTGGGGTGCGTTCTTGTCTTTGATGTGTTTTCGCATTTAACCCCATTCAACCATCCTTGGAATTTCTGTAAGGTGCATTGAGACACCCTTGATGCCGTGTGCTACAGGCGAGGGTGTCCGTTCATTACCTGTGGATAAGAAACCGAGAGCTCCAAGTCTATAGTTGAGCCCAACGACGATGACGTCACCAATAGCCGCTGTTGGAGTCGGCCACAACAATTCTTCCATGGTTCCTGCTCCGGCCATATAACCTCCGCCGTGAATATGCACCAAGACGGCTGCTTCTGGAGGCTAAACATTAAAAATATTTGAAAAGTACTCTTCAGGAATGAAGGATCATCACTCGCACATTTTTTTTTCTTGTACCATTTGCTCCTGTGGAGTTCGATGTGTTACTCACACAGATGCGTAACTGATCAACGTAGGCCTATATCACAGTTTTTCTTAAATTTAAAACAAATCATTCCCACATCGCAGATTATTCAGATGGATTTATGTTTCTACCAACCGCTGATCTCTAAATTGTAAACAGTAAAACTAGAGACAAGGAATGCTAGAGTTAAAAATCACTCTGAATTTAGCTTGAAATAGTTTGAAAAATATTCCCTTCGAATGGAAACCTAAGTAAAATCTTGTTCTGTTAGAGTGAAGGAATTTCAGTTCAATACGTCAACAGTCCCTGTTTCCAATCGAATGGAGTGAGTTTTCAACCTTTGGAATTTAGAGATTATCAAAGGAACCACTTGGCTGTTACTGTACACGAGATGAATGGAGCTGTCGCGGGAAAATAGTACTATTCATGGGTGAAATTGCCACTTGTTTGGCCCACTTACAACTGGTTTGGGCACAAATACATCAAGAAATAAACAATTTTCGTCGAGATTTCCAGACATTGTGACGTTTCCAAAAAGTAAGAGGGGCTGAGGGCAGCTGTTTCCCAGCTTGGTTGCTTGCAGCTCCCCGCTCCATAACTTGGCGACGGGAGGTTTGAAGCGCAGCGGGCCGACGGGAGCCTCAGCGTACGGTATGCCGAGGTAGGCGTCCACGCTCCGGCGAAGCGCAGGGTCGATGGGGCTGAACTCGACCGTCTTGCCGATGATGCGACCCTGGCTCGTCGTGACTACAGGAGGAGTTTCATTACTGCTTGCTCCTGTGAGAAAAACAAACAGGTACAAAACGCACAGAGAGTTTACGTGCATCATGTTTTCGACGAGGGAACATGTGCACTCGAGAACTTGTGTCTAGCAACTAGCTGCCTAGCGCGCAGTGTCTGCGTTCAAAAATGCAATGTCATGGTCAAAGGTCTGCCTTCATCGGCTTTACGCACACAAATAACCGATGCACAATGATTTCACCATGTTTAGTTTGGGCCAGAACCACAATGGAACGTAAAACTATATTTATACGTGCTCAAGCGTATAAATATAGCCCCGGCGACAAAAAGGGATAGCAACCGATTAATTAATGTCGGGGGCAGGTACTGCATTTCAATGTCATTTTCTCTCTGGTTCTACCGAATGTAAGGTTTTCTTCAGAGGGCTCTGTAAAATCATCGTTTTATGATAGCCTTTCCCCTTTGTTCTAAAACGGATTTCCAAGGACAAATACAGATTTCAAACATTTCTTTCGTCACAAGCACAAAACGTCAACAGAAATCAGCAGGGCCCTCTTCTTCGTGAGCTTATTGAAATCGTGACAAAGATCACTCTCATTTTGCTTACGACTTGTATGGCTTGGTTGGTTTTCGATTTTACTTCAAATTTGTTCAAAATGATCTTTTGTCCCCTGTGTTTAGCTGGGGTAGTATTTTCTTGCAGTATTTAGTAGTACGTGTGTAGGTGCGTCTGATTTTAACAATTTGTGAATTGTTCTATTAATTTTGGACTGACGGCCAACCATAGTTTTAGCAACCACTTGTAGGAAAACGGCCCCAGTCACAAAATTTTTATATTCGGTTCGTGATTTCGTCAAACGCGCGCGTGCACCACTAATTGCAAGCTTCCACTGAATAAGCACTCCTCTCGGTTCCATGAAGTTCTATATGCAGTGGGAGTGGTTTGAACTGGAGTGACATTACATTTACAAACCAGATTGCAGAAGGTCACAATGAGATCTGTTAAGTTTTAGGGAGGGGGGTCTTCTGCATTTGGGACAAAAGCAAATTCTCGATTCTTTATTTTGGACACCATGAAACACTTTTAGGCCATAACGCTACTATGATATCATGGCTTTCCAGGAGATAAAAGTGAAAAAGCCTTTGGAAAATCTGCGTGAAACTCACCATGAAGTTTGTACCTTCATACAATAGGCCACTAGTACTTGTGCCGCCTTGGTCATAGTGTGCGCGTGCCTGCATAATAATTTTTAATTTTGATATAGGTCTACTTGTAATTTCAAATTACAGGTTTTGCCCTTGTGCATTTTTAAACAACGTACAGTGTACCTTTATAAACATAATGTATGTAGTTGTAGCAAGGTCCATTGTATCGTGTGTAGCGGCTATAAGTAAAATAAATACAATTCCATTCCTATTGAAATGTGCCTTGTGAAGAGCGCCCTCAGTCAGCTATTGACGGCCATTTTCGTAATTTCTTAATTAAAGATTTTTTTACGGCCAAATGCGAAGACTTTATATTGCATCCTACCTCTGCCGATGCTGAATAACCTAGTTTAGTCGCCTTTGCAGTAGGGACTTCCCCTTGGATGGTATCAGTTTCACCAGAGCCAGCCTATTGCTAAGTCCATAGGAATACGTACTAATCTCCCTGCCACGTGGCCCGTATGGGGTTATTTACACAAAGGCTGCCTTGACCAGCCAGAGTCTGTCGTATATCAATTGCCGGTCCCTCCAATGTGGGTGTGAGCTGTCAAGACAGCTGTCTGAGCTGTTTCATATTGTGGGGGGGTGTCACATTTTTGTTGACTTGGTGCCCCCCCCCCCTTGCTGGATAAAAGGCACTGTGAATGTATTCTGACTTTTTCTCCTTTTTTTTTTACTTGTAGGCATTGGCAGACGCCAAGGGACACTATTACAAGGGTCTTTGTGGTTGGGGGCATGATTACAAATGGCCATATAACATAGACGGAGTTGGGCCCATGATCAATTAAATACGAGGTCGGTGCACCGGAGGGTTTGAGAACATAATGTTTATGGTTTGGTAATTAATGGAGCGATAGAACGATGGAACGAGCATCGTACATAGATACTTATTGGAAGCTTTGAAGCAGACAAACAGGATTTACAGCACCAGAACCTCAACTTTTGTTACAAACCTACAGCAATTGCAACTGACACCCTCAGAAGTTGTAGGGAGAGCCTACGACAGACTAAACGGGACTTGCAATATCTTCGGCAACGCCTTTTGCAGAGAGTTAGTTCTAGAAGGTCTGTAACAATTATGACGTCACGCTTCCCGTAGGAATGTACACGTGTGAACAAAGCATGGCGTTTTTATGTTTGAGATCCATTGTGTGATTAATTTTGTGTTTCGTTTTTATGTTTGAGATCCATTGTGTGATTGGTTTAGTGTAGGACTCCAGACTTCCTTTTAACCCCTACATTGTTCTAATTGTTCCCCTCATTCGTCCCTCGTTGTCTCCACTACCCTTTTTTTTACGTACCACACCCCTTTTTTCCCAGCTCTTTTATTCCTGAATTCTCTCTTGCAATCTTTTCTTCTTGTGTTTTTGTCTCTTTTCTTTTCTTATCAGCAGCTCTGTTTTTGTGTTACAAGACATCAGGAACACTTCAAGGAACACTTCAAACACGTCAACAATAAGCTGAAGGAAGCGAGGAACATCTCATCAGCTGATCGCTGCCTTACGACTGCTTTCTTTCCTTTCGAAATGAAGCAAGCCCCAGGCACGCTCAAGTCCGGGAAAGCCCCTGGTCCTGATAACATCCTCCCAGAACAACTATCCCATGCTGGTCTCCGCCTCCTTGACAGGCACAGACATGTATGTCACGATGTCTTTCCGCGGCCAAAGTTCCCCTCCACTGGAAGGAAACGTTGTGGCCATCCTAAGGCCCAATAAACCAAGCAATCACCCCAAGAGTTACCGTCCCATCTCACTTTTGTCCGTGCCCCTGAAACCGTTTGAACGGCTGATCCTCAACCGGATTGAACCCTTCCTCGGGCACTTTCTGCCGAATGAACAAGCAGGTTTCAGGAATCAGGACCAAGTACTTGCAGCAGTCGACCAAATCGAAGCTGCCTTCGAAGACAAGAAGAAATGCAGGGCCGTTTTCATCAACCTCTCCTCTGCCTACGACACAGTCTGCCACTGTGGTCTTATTCTCAAACTCCACCTAGCCCGACAAGACAGACATATGGTCCATGTCATCACAAAAATATTCTCAGACCGGTGCTTCAAAGTACTAATTGATTCAAAGTACTATATAGCAGATATGCTTCATACCTGCGCCTCCAAATACGCCTTCGCGGATAACCTAGCCATCTTCTTCACCTCAAACTCCCTCAAGGAAGCCGAGTGCGCCCTTAGCCAAGACATGCAGATTTTACAGGCATGCTACCACCAATGGCGTCTGAAACTCAATGTACAGAAGACCACCTGCTCTGTGTTCCATCTGAACAATAAGGAAGCGGGCCACCAGCTTAAAGTCAAGCTCCATGAAGCCTACCTTCCATTCTGCACCACGCATACTTACCTTGGAGTGAAATTAGACCGCTCGCTCACCTTCCGCCACCATGCGCAGAATGTTGCTGATAAAGTGTCTGCAAGAGTATGCCTCTTACGTAGTCTGTGCAGTCGTGACTGGGGCGCTGATTTCACTACCCTTCACTCCTCTACGCTTGCCCTTGCCTATGCTCCGGCCGAATAGTGCGTCTGTGGGCGCAGCTGCCATACAAAGAGAGTAGACGCCCAACTCAATTCTGCCCTCCGAACCATCACAGGCTGCCCGAACCCCACTTCTACTCATCAGCTTTCTGCACTAGCAGGCATCGCACCTCATCACCTCAGAAGAGAACCTGCCACAAGACAGGCAAATCTTAAAGCTGCCATGGAAGAATCACATCCCCTCCACACCAAGGTCCATGCTGCCCTCCCTAGGCAGCGCCTTAAAAGTAGGAAACCCTTCATCAGGTCTGCCCAAACCTTCACCACATAGACTGAGAATCTCAGCAGGAAAGCTTGGCTCTCCAACAAGTGGAAGGAGCAACAGCTTGTAGGCAGATTCACCAATATGCTGCCTCTGTCATCCCACCCTCTTGGCCGTGACCTTTCGCGTAAAGAATGGTGCCGCCTGAATCGACTCCGTACTGGTGTTGAGCGTTTCCGAGCCTGTATGCATCTATGGAACCTTTCAGACACAGACAGATGCTACTGTGGTGAGTTGCAGACAGCCGACCATCTGGTAGAGCAATGCACTATCCATCGCCTGGAAGGCGGGTGGACCGCTCTCCGCAGCCTAACACCTGACGCCAGGGCTTGGTTGAAAGATGCGGATTTCCCCTCCTAGTACAGACCGATCAGATACGACCACAAGCAAGAAGGAACACTTCGAGCAAGGGAGTGATAACAACAAAATTTAATTCAATTGCTTTTTCTCAAACAATGGACAACAACGCTGTTGTTTGGTTTATACAAGCACCACTCAATTACACGTATACGTGAATTTATATGAAATTCAAGGCATCTGTAAATGGCCACTTTCCACATGCAGCAGAGGAATTATGTATTATTGTAGCGAAATCTCATGTAATGACACGTTATATGACATACATTGTATACTATGGTGTTCTATTGACGTCAAACTTGCGTCACTTGTGCCGTCTCCACAATGTCACAACGCGTCGTGACGGGGCGGCGCGTCCCCGTCGCGTCGTGCCGTCGCCTGTTCTTGTGTTGCTTAATGCAGAGTCCTTGGTATCGCGTCGTGCCATCACGTCGTGTCATCGTACTCTTGCTTTGTGACATCGCTTTGTGCCGTCGTGACGGGAGGTCGTGACTTGCCGTTGCGTCGTGCCTTCGATCCATGGCATCGTGCCCTCTGTCGTATCCAATCCGCGTAGGCCTATAGAACCTGAAAATAAAAGGCCACGCAGTAGGCTTCCGGAACCCTCGCGCGGTCCACCTGTAGGGATTTTTACATGGGTCCTATCAAATCCGATAATTTTTGGAAGAATTATTTCTAACTGAAACCACCGCAGGATCGCCCACGTTGGAATTCACACTTTGTCCTTCTCAAGTAATGATTAGGAAAATTCTCCTGGAGATGGATAAAAAACGAATTTCATTAACGACCTTTTGCTTCCGGCAGTATCCCTAGGTCTCCTTGTTCATGTACCTTTGTTTTCATTCCCCGTGCTAACGTGGAAACGAGTTTGTACAACCCTGCAAAGATTTACCTACCTGCAGTCGATGGGTTCCAGATTCCGTTGAGTTGACGTGCGCAGTTCTTGTCAGCAAAGGTTCGATTATACATTAGAATATTTCGTAAAAGCACGTTATTGCTTTGAGTTTATTTCCTTATAAGTTTCAGTCTCCTTCAAATTCCACCTCAGGGTTCCGGAAGTGCGCCATCAGGGGTCAGCTTTCAGACTCTTTTGCCGTCGCATCGTAATCCTTATTACAAGTGGAAATGGGGACACTCTTATTCAGACGGAGCCCAGTTCCAGTACCGCACTGATAGATACACCATTTTGCCAACACACACAACGCCATTACACCCTACATTATGTGGACTTCTTTTGTGCAGAGGTCCACACTGTGTATGCCACGCCTGCACACTATTTTTCCATAACTTGTGAGTTAAGTCAATATATCTCCAGGGGTGAAACGAGGTCGAGGAGAGCCTGCTTTCTTCAGGGCTGCACCACTACAATAAATTCCAATAGACAGCAGTGATAAATTCCCATATTTTAAGAAAATTTATAAATACTGACAACTCTCATAGGTGTTCAGGCTGCACAGAAAATGATGTTCCTCATGTCCTCTTTCATTTTCCTTTCAAGTTTTATTGGGTTGACCAATGACTTTTTGAGAAAATCCCACCTAAAGCAGATCACCCCTAAAACGAGGGAAATTTCACTACCCGGAAAGTAGCCATTTTGAAAACGCATCCCCTCTGCAAAATGGCTCAAATAGTGCCACTTTCGGACCCGATTGCATCCAAATCGCTCAGAAATGGAAGCCCCGAGTCCGTCCCAGAGGTTCAGTGCCATATTTTTTCAATTCCCCAGTTCCATGGCTGTCCGGACCCTCTAATATAGAATATTTTGAGTGAATAACTTTTATTAATGAGCTCGGCGGTGCACCCTTCCAGGTCATGCATGAACAGACAAGCGAATGAAGCAGCCATGAGCCATGCGAGCGTCTATAGCGGTACCGTGGATCTGTAGATAATGTCCAGAAAGAAATAAAAAAAATTGTTCCTCGTTAAAACAAGTGTCATGAGAACGGCAATATCATGAAAGGAGGACTGGTGTGACCTGCTTTCGTCATCAGAGCCAGGGAGAAAGCGCTGATGCCCTTTTCATGAGGGATGTTGGTACACCGTAAAGAAAGACGTGACTTCAAAAGTCCTAAAGATAGCCGTATTGTGAATCGGGTCCTTGATACATTCGAGCTTACGCAAGAGGTCTGGAGTGTCATAAATGTATGATGAGGTCTGGGGAACAAAGGGGCTAAAGAAAACTGTCAATGCATGAACGGGGATATGCGTTCAGTTGGGAAGCCATTGCCAGAGATTACGGTCCTGCCAGGGTTGCCGGCTTTGTAAATCTTGGGGAGGAGGTAAAATCTGGCACCTCTGCAGTCAGAGGGAGAGAGGATTTATGGATTTTCTTTGATAACTAGTCACGTGATCTCATATCATCTAATGCCTGTTGAATCTCTCGACTGAAGGTGCATGTGGGGACAAAATCAAGGCGGGTGTAGATAGTGCAGCTGGCGGTGGGCCTCATCGATATACTTGCGACGGTCCATGATAACTACTGCATGCTGAGCCTTAATCTGCTGGCTTGACTGATTATAATGCGAATACGAGAACGTGTGAAGTTCATTTCTGGGGAGGTCATCATGAGTCCTGTGGGGGAAGCAATCTGTGTTAGTGGCTTAAGAGCTGACAACGTGAACCTATAGTATATATACCTAAGGCCGGTACGCGATTCTTGGGGGAACCCAGGAGCTCTAAAATGAAATGGTTCCTGCTTAAACTTAAAGGGCTCGCTATCAAGGAAAAATTCACGGGGGCGAATGTAAAGGTAAGGGAATATAAGTGCTTCGCTGGTATTGAACGTAAAAATACTGACCCAAAATTATTTACAAAATTGTATAATTATTGTGCCTTCTACGAAGCCAATGCTAGTACGCAGGCTTCTATAGTTTCCCGTTTATGACAGGAAACGAAAAATAGGCGGCCTGTGTTTTCTATCTTTGAATCTGCCTGAGTAAAAGCTTTATCTTCGCCCCAAAGGGGGTCAGCATACTCTTTGTGCAAGTTTTACTACTACGTACGCCACCACCTGATGAACCCTCTTTATATTAACTAGGGCTGTTACGTAACAAGAGTCGGTAGGTAAACTCCCTGATGTTTTGAGGTGAAAGGCTCGCTATGGTGATTCATTGAAGCTTACTAAACACATCACAGAATATGGTGGTTCACACATAGCGGACACACATCACACTACGTACGCAATACTGGCACAAGCACAGGAGGAAAACACAGAACACAATAAACAGACAAAATGGCCAACCCGGGCATCGTTGAGGTATGTAAGTCACTAATCTAAGGATGGCGGCGCTCATAACTTTCCAGCTTTACCTAGGCCTGTGGCCTGACTTCAACATAGGCGTTCGACGGTAGTGTACGATGAATTCCCGTGTTCGATTTGTGACAGGCAGTTGTGTTAGCAACCAGACAGTGATCCTTGAACGCTTTGGTTCAACTTGCTTTGGTGTAATGAACCACAATACTGACTTTTTTCTCCATTCCGATGCAGAAGTTTGACGGTATGCACCGTCCCTAGTGGGAAAAAAACTTGGTGGCAACTCTGTGACACACGTAGGCCTAGCGTCCAAGACATGTTTATCGCCAGATCCCTAATTTCGCCACGCATGGATTCTGTCTGGTTGGTTTTCACAGTAAATGACCAAATTAGGGAATTGCAGTGGCGACTACTCGATAGTAAAGAGCATAAATTATTTCTTTGCCTGATGTACTTCGGATGTCTTAGGAATCAAGGAGCATATAACTACCCTTACCGCTGTCATTTCTCCTACTACATGTGGACTTACCAAGCAAACAAGACAGAATTGAAATGTCTTGGCACACCCTGTTTGTTTCGTACATATCTAAATAGAGCAATCTCCCTTATTCGACAAAGCGATTTTCAAACTGCGCTACTATGAAATCTTATTACTTCCCGTGAAATTCTGCGGCAAACGAATATTGCTCTTTTTAAGAGCCTTTTGACGTCAGGTGAACAATTTTTTGCTCGGGAAAAAAAACAAAAAAAGGTTTAGCCCAATCTTCAACACAGAGCATCCTTATTGCTATTACGTGTCTTTGATCTTTTGATAAAATTTATGCCTAGTTAAACGAATTATGAAATTGTGTAGATATTTATTTCAAGATTAAAACCCTTAGGAAACCTGTTGTTTAAAGTTTTTGTCTCGTCCCCGATTAAAGGCTTTCAATCTAAAAAAAAAGGATTCTCCGTTGACTTCAAGATCATAATTTCGAAGTCTTAACAAGTAGAGTACACATGTAATTACACAACGCGTGAGCTCTGAAAACAAATTACGTCAAAATTCAGATGTTGTTGGTAATAAAGTAGGAAGAAACACATCCCATTCGATAATGACGCCATTGGTCAGAACAACTAAGTGAAATGAGCTTTTTCCCGTTTCCCGTATCAATTTGGTACTCCAACGAGTATTACTGTAGTTCGAGTTTCAAGTTTCGAGTTAGGTTTTCAAGTTTCGAGTAAAATTTCGAGTTGGGTTTTTGAGTTTGGAGTTGATTTTTCGAGTTTCGAGTTAAATTTTCGAGTTGTGAGTTTACCAAGTTGATCTCCCTATGCTAACGGTCAATGCTCAAAACCAACAGAATTCTGCCATACATGTAGACTCCTATCATGTGCCTTGGTAGGCCCAGTATGAAATAAAAATAAAGGTAGGCCTAGCTCTATGCTGGAACACTGATTGCCACTAATTAGGGTAAACAATGCAATAAGCTGAATCAATACATTTACATGTGTCGCTTATAAATGTCCGTTAGTCAAGAAGTTCATACAGAAGTTAAACCATTTGGGTTAATGTCTGAAAATATGGTTTAAATGGCCAAGGTCTGTTTCAGCTTCCACAGAGGAATTTGGTTCCCATTGAAATAAAAAAAAAAACATATTGAATTTTGACAACCACAGGGTCTGGTGGGTGACAATTATAGGTCTAGGTTTGAATCCATAATTGTATGGATTCAAACATGGTAACAGTTTGGCTGCTCCAGAGACAAATACATTAAAATGTAATGTCTTCTTGATGGATCAAGATTTATACACTTCTGGCTAATTTTCTAAAAAGTGACAAATAATGTTCACATGTATGGGAATTCCCCATAGATTGACAATTGCAGTTAAACGTTGCTAGATTTTTGAGCCAACAGGACAGTGACATATATTTAAAGACAGACTTTTCAATGCACCTTGGCATCTTTAGCATTTGAGAAATTCTTTGAAACTTGAAATGGGATAAATATAAGAGGCCCAAGCATTTACTTATAAGATGTGGATTTCTTGAAATTGGGATACTTAGCCGGTGCATTGCTGCTACCTACACATGTATATGCAACTCAACTGATTAAAACTTGGTTTTGTTCAAGCACGTCAAACCACACAAATTGTTAGCTTGTTCAGCCCAACAATGACGAGACACATGTACATGTACCCGTGTAGTGTTTTTTTGTTAATTTCGAAGGCAGTTCCAAATGAAAAGGGATACTGAATACTTGTTACAATAAGAAAACTGGAACAGAAACTTCCAATTAAAAAGTACTTAAAGAGTATGAGGTTTAGAATACAGGGTATACAACTGCGTGATGGTGGAAAGTGATGGAATTATATAGGCCTAAAATATTTACTTTTCCAAAATGATGAATTTATAAATGTTACAAATAATTTTTTAAGCGAACAAATTTCTTCGAATAAGTAATTGTAAATTTGTTGATTCTACATTCGTGTGCATGTGTTTGGGTATTCGTATGATAAAAGTTCCAAATTTAAGTTTCACATCTAAATTTTGGAAGAATGGATCCCACTGCATCTCTGCTTAATAGCAAGGTTAAAGAAACCACCACGAAAGGACAAAAGATTATTCTCTTGAAGAATTTCATTTATTCGAAAGAATTTTGTGAGAGGCTACATGAACAAATCAGTCACAGTCCAAAGAGTTGATCTTATTTGATGAGAACTATATTAACATGAGCAACCTAGAATTTTTTTATATCAATAGACTTGTCTAAAACAAACTTAATACCACTTGGAAACGAGCTGTCACTTCATATTTACCAATCATTTTAATATAACCAAAATATGTAATATTATTTTTAAAAAAGTGTAAATTTATATGAAAAAAAACATGATAAAAAGCTGATACATGTATACACAATTTTTATCGTGTGTTATTCCTGTTGTATTTCTTAAACCTTGAAGTTACATATACCAGTACATGTACTTTTCTTTGGCTATTTTGGGCAAGTTCCACGAGTCCGTATAGGAAATCTGAGACACTAGTTTCCTTGTTCTGTACATTTTCTTTTGAAAACACTGAAGGTGTATCATTGCAGACCCCCTTCCCCACAATGGCCCAATTAGCGTAGAAGTGTTGTTTGTACATGTATATAAACTGCATTAGTCATTAACAAAGTACTGTACATGTACAGTATGCGTTAGCTGTCGGCCAAACTGTATTATGCTCAATACGGGAAACACCTCTTGGATCTGCCCATACAAATGCATGATGTGCATGATCTCATCTCCATATAAACACATGGAGATTTGCAACAAAGTATGAAATTATTGCAGCTTTTTGTGCAAAAGTGCTTGCAAGTGGGCATCATCTTTGGATGGGATTTTGAGCTTGGATGTTGCATTTGCCTGAAAATCCATTTGTAAATTCAGGACTGCAGATATACATTTCGTGGCCCACGTACCCTTCATTTGAAAAGTAAATTGAAAACAAACTTTGAGGAAACACAAAACCTTTCCTTATGCATAAACGAAGCTTCCTTGATTTTAAGATTGTAGAGTCATGTCCATGATAGGAAAAATGTATGTAACCTGTTTTCTCTTCTTCCTGAGAAAATACACAAATGAAGGTAGAGTAACTTTATGTGCTGCCATCCGCATTTCATCTGAAAAGTGATGAGCCTAACCATTAAGTGTGTTGGCCTTCTTCATGAACAAGCAACTCTACGTGTAATTATTGCCAGGTCACTTCAGTTTAAACCATGACCCTCTTCTACCCATGGTTGAATGTGAGGGAAAATTTAATATGACATTTGTACTCTCATAATTTTTCATCCAACAGGAGCTTGAAGTTGATGGGTGCTACACATGGGAGTCGTGAGGGGGCAAGGGGCACTCCCCCCGGAAAATTAAAAAAGAAAAAAAAAACGGAAAAAATGTGAAAGGAAATAGAATTCATGACGTGAACTGAAAAAAAGGTCAAAATTGGGGAAAGGAGGAGGGCTTAAATGAGAGGGGAGTCAAGCTGCAAAAATAGTGATTTGCCCCTCCCGGAAAAAATCTTGACGAAGCCCATGGAAATTTAACTCGAAACTCGAAAATTCAACTCGAAACTCGCAAAATCAACTTGAAACTCAAAAAAATCAATTCGAAACTCGAAAATTCAACTCGAAACTCAAAGAAAAGAAACCCTCTATTCCAACACGCTTTCAGGTTAAGCAACCAGCGGCTGGTGTCGACGGTCAGCAATGGATGGCAATGCCGCCGCTGAGTACAGGTTCGACAGGTGTCCCACCAGGCTTGGAATACCTGAACCAGATTGACCAGCTCCTCATACACCAGCAGGTAGAACTCTTGGAACTAATGACAAGCATTGAGACCAAGAACCGCTATGCCATCAAGAATACGTTGGGCCAACAGGTGTATTTTGCTTACGAAGGTAGGTTGGTATCAGAAATCAGAAATCAAGTGATGACATTGCGAGCAGGAAGTGGATTAACGCGATTTGTTCATATGATAACGAATCATTTGTCAATTCTTATAAGTGTTTGTAATGTTTTCTTATGATGTATATCTGATAAAATAAAATGACTGTGTAGCACATTTAGGCAACGGCCAAATTTGCACAGGACCAAGCTGGAAATGAAATAATTATTATACTAAAACGATCACATCTTGTTAGTCACTATTTGTACATCAGTAACAATGTGTGGCATATACCAAATTGCCTGCGCCTGACTGCAACAGACAAAAAATCTGACTTGCCTTACTCCTCACCCTGAAAAATTCTTGGATCCTTCCATGGGGATTGCGAACTGTGCCTTGGGCATGCATTAATGCATTGTGCAAACTTGCACACATTCATTCAGCTCGAAAGCGCCTTGAGTGTCGTCAACTAACGACCTTGAGATCGATTATGCTTGTGCTTGTGCGCAAAAAGAATAATCGAACGAATTGTAAATGTGCAGTGTTGTAGCAACCCGACAAGAGTCTTCATTATTTTAGACGGGGATAATAGAGTATGGTATAAGGAGGTTTGACGGTCGAACATGTGCAGTGGAAGATATCGCTAATCTTGACATTTCCTATTGGAGTACACATTCACGATTAAACTGGAAGAACTAGGCATTTTCAAACCATACTGCAGCGGGGAGGGGGACGGGACAGCTCCCTTCCCCAGAATGCGACTGCCACACACTCATGCTGTTGTGTAATCTTGGCATGTATGTGCAAAGCACTGATTATGAATATTGCTGTGATAGGCTTCAATTTAATCCTGTATACATGTACATATTCTGTTGTTGCGGGCATATAAAAGTTTACGTAGCCTCAGAGGTGTCTGTTCGCATGTACTGTGCCCGTCACATATGACACAAGAAATGAGACGGAGAGACTCCCTCCCCCCGTTTGTCTTGGTCATTGTTTCACTGGAATCTGAGTAATTCGGACATCTGGGGGGATTTGTCAGGTAATAGTCTAGAATGTGTATAGCGATTGGACATACCCTTATTTCTTGCTGGGTGTAGCCCGTCAGTGCGCTAGCCCGTTATTCCAGCAGCGCATGCCCAAAATACGCACGCAGAGGTTGCTCGGTCTTGAAGAGCAGCACGCGCACACGATGGTCTTCGTATGTCCTGTCGCCAGTGCAGTCATTGCCTTTTCACCCATCGATTTCTTCCTGAAAGACCTTGCCTTACATAAAAACCAAACTGACTCATTTGATAAGTACACTTTTCGGCTTAATACCTGTCCAATGTTCACAAAATTGGTGACTGGTGACTGTTTAAAGTGCCTGCGATACTTAAAACTCGATCCTGAAGGCCTGGCTCAGGAAAAAACGAATGAGGAAAAATGAATGAAAAAAAGAATGTAATGAGGTAGATTCCGTTCAACTCTTTAATATTAGTTTACATCAGATTAATGACCGAACATGCCATGTAATTCAATCACACGCTTGAACTCCTATTTGGGGCACGCTTTATAAATTCTATGGTTCTCATTTTTTGACCGACCCTATTTTTGGCTGACGACCTCGAAATTAGAAAAAAAAAAACAAATTCTACCAATCCCGCTCAGAGGACCTTGCCTATAAAAAGCAGGTTGTGATGAACTGTACAAAAGCAAAAGCTGAATATATAGATGTGCGATACGATTTCGCCCAAACAGCAACGCGGCGACAATTGAAATCCACGGTACGGCAACACTACCAGACCGAGCGGTACCGTACCACACCCAACGTGGGCCCTACTACATAGGCCTATACGGAGCGCCTTGGGAAAAACGAACATGCTCTATAGCACATGTAGACTGCACACCGGATTACCATACGGTGTCTTGACACAGACTCCAACGTCCAACTATAGTGTTGTGTTGAGTACCAATGAAATATTTCTGTGTACTCAGCTAGAAACAAAGACACTCTTGTAAAATATAAATAAGTGACAAGTATAAACAAAGTGCACTTCGCCTGATTTATTCAGTCATATGGCAGCAGCATGGATTTTTTGGGGGGAGGGGGAGGCATTTTTTTCGACTCTCATATGAAACAGATATGAGAGCCATAGGATATAAAAAGGTGCCTTTAAACAGAAAAAAGCCAGGGAGGCAATTTACGAGCTGTGACCCCTCTTATGCTAACTGGCTCAAAAGAGAGATTGGAATTGGCAAAGTGGGTCGTGAAAAATCTGGAGGGTACTTTGGTCTTTTTGTATGAATAACGAAGTAGGAACAGTGACAGGCCTACACGAGGACTGCATAATTTTTATCATTTTGACTAATAGGTTCTGTTTTATTCCCTTCCTTCTAGAGTCTGAATTCTGCCATCGAAATTGCTGCGGCTCAGATCGAGGCTTTGTCATACATATTGTTGACAACCGGTCTCAGGTACTACAAGGGACACTCCCTGCGGAACTCTAGATCGGTGTTTCAAAGAGAAATATGATGAGTGTTCGTATGAGCGTAAATCCCAGGTGATGGGGTATCCCCCCCACCACACACGTTTGGACTGGGGAAAGAGCTAAATTGAGTGGACTGTGGAGAATCTTTCGGACTTACCAACAACCAAAATGTATTCAACCTCACTCAAAAAAGCCATAAATATGTCGTTCTGATGTAACACAACGACTCTTATTACAGATGTAGATCTGCATCATGAACATCGATCCCTATAGGCCTATAGTGTCATATGGTGTAAGCGCCCCCCTCGCTTTTCAAACGTCCACGGCTAGGCGAGTTGTATCCTAAAGCCCCCCCCCCATTTCTGGCACAAATTTACCCCACTGTGTTTTCAAATTCACCTTTCTTTTCCCACACATTACAAAAAGGGGTGCATAAAGTAACAAATTCGACATGTTGTCTGGCAAGTTACTCATTTTCGCTATTCAAACTTGTCAGAGAGAACATGTGCATGTATTATGTATAAAAAAAAATTGAATTAACTCAAATGTGAAGATGCTTGTGTGGTGTGAATAAGACAAATGTTTGTCCCGTGAAAGATCTTTTTCAATTTTGTCCCTTCTCAATGTTATCTGTTGGCAGGAGGTGATACGCGTGATTCGGCCGTTCAAGTGCTGCGCCGGATGCTGCTGGTGCGCAGACGCAGATTGCTGCGCTTGTGAAATCCTAATTGAGGCGCCGCCGGGCCAAGTCGTAGGCTCCGTCCGACAATTGTGAGTGTCAGTGGTCGAATAGACCCTTCCACAAAATTCTAACATATGTGCACATGCTCATAAATGGCAAGGGGAAGCAAAAAAGCTTGAGTGGCTTCATTTTCTTGCAGCTTCTACACTTTTTCACTTCTGTCTTCTGAAAACCCTCTGAAATTATTATAACTATTACTTTCTGGTGTGAGAGGTATTTTCGGAGAGCAATAGAAAACCTTACAATTTCGTTTGTTTGCAGTTCGTGAGGGCAAACAAAGTGTGCGATACGTTGAGGGTACCGCCCGCCTTATACGTGGCATAACAAACCTAAACCCAGTCCAAAGCTAGCCCGCAATAAATCTCTTGCAAGTTAAATTTGAATAAAATCTGGTACACTGAGTTTTTAAAATTCAGATGAATATAACAATTGGAACTTTCCCATACACAGCTACACCTCGTGATTCGGAGCAAGCTTTTGCTTGGTTACATAAGAGACTGTTTTCAATGGTTAAAAGGGGCACAAAGGAACCAGTCCATTCCAGGGATGGCGGTCGCTATGCAAAAGTTGCCCAAAATCACAAGATAAAGCAACAGTGTTTAGTCTCGGGAATTCAAATTGGTATGTTCACATGCAATCAGATAGCTCAGTGTAGTGGATTTTATTCAGGTTTTAACTTGCACAAGGCTTATTCACACTGCGTTGAGCTTACGATTCAGCGTAGTACGAGTGGTGCATAGTACCCTAAAGTACATACCTATTAAATTGGACGTGGTCGGGAATGAGCCCTGTTAATTTCTTCTGACCTCGTGCGCTCGGGGATAAAGCAAAGACATTGTTATTAATAATCTAGTGTAAAATCCGTTTAGACCTGAAAGTAATAGCTACGATGATTGTCAAGAGTTTTCTGAAGGCGAAAGTGAAAAAGTGCAAAAGCTTAAGAAACTGACGTTGAAATGTAAGCTTTTAGCCTCAACATTCCATTTCTGCAAATGCGCACATAAATTGGAACTTATAAGTGGGCCCCTTCCACAAATAAGTTCTAATTTATGTAGCCTAGAGGTTACATTATGATCAACATTATCACATGTGAAATTTAACATTATCAATATTACAGTTCCTGTTACAGCTACTAGCATAAATTCCAAACTGGTCAATGTTCCCCATAACATCCCTTAAGTTTCAGCTGTCGCGATGGACTGTAGGGGCATGTTTAAGTTCACGGAATCCAGATTGCGATCAGTGATCCAACATTGGTTCACTGACTCCAGAACCCGCCAAATGGATAGAGCGAACCACCTTCGGGAACAAAGACTAGGATCTGTACGTACGGGTGATACAAGCAGACCCTTAAAAACTTCGAAATGGCGTACAGTCTGTAACGATGTCCTTGAGCCTAAATCAGGTCCGGTGAGTGAATAATGCCACTGATTCATTATATTGTAATTTTTCTCCAGAGGAAGCAAGTGGAAGCCAAAATATGGAATTCGCAACGAAGGCGGGAACCAAATCCTCCAGATAGGCGGTCCCTGCTGCCCATGTCAGGCTGTCTGCTGCACCGCGGATGTGGACTTTAAGGTCACGTGTAATGTATTTGTATGAAGATGTCACAAAATTAGAGTTCATTGGCCTGATTGATATTGCCAGCAGCCCAGCACGTGACCGTTGATAAAGCACTAACTTGTGGGTATCGCCTATCTAGGCGTGATCGAAAACTTGCAGGAAAATTATTGAACAAAAGACATCAGAAATTTACATTTAAATAAAAATAGTTTGGCTTGACTTTCTGATCCAGCACTTAGGAAGGATGTTAAAAATTCCCCTGTCATCGGCTCGGAAAATACCGTAACGTGCAAGATCGTCCAGAACATATTTATTTAATCATTCTTAACGTATTCATTCTTCCTCAATAATGCTTTTGGATGGAAGTATTAGATTGGTGCTAAATTTCAGTCACAATACGTATATGCAGTGTCTCCTTATTCCGTCTACATGGGGCTGATATGCATTATTATAAAGAGTCATCAGCGTACTAAAATTAACGATCCCCACAGACTCTGCTCTAATAGAGCGCAATAGTTTGGGCATAATGAGGAAGGGTGTGTAAGGCTTTAACAAGCAAAATCTCTGGACTCATTCCCTGTACAGATCAAAGGAACTGATGGAGTGACTGAGGTGGGAAAGATCACCAAACAGTGGGGTGGTTTCATTCAAGAGCTCATCAGCAAGGCAGACATTTTCTGCTGCACATGTAAGTTTTTAGTCATTTCAACTGCTACTTTCTACTTGGTTCTACCCCAGATCTTTATGTGTTGATACTCTGATTGACTAGTTGAAGTACTGCGAAGCATATGAACAGCCGTTGGAACTTTAAAGACAGTCCAGCGACCTTTTATCTATTAATTTGTCTTCTTTCATCAGTTCCGATGGATATGGATGTCAAAATGAAGGCGACCATATTGGGTGCTGCTTTCCTTATCGTAAGTAACTTTCCTGAAATTATGCATGCATCTAAAGGAGAACGTCGAAATGCAGTTTGCTAGATCAATTTTTGTAGAACTTTTGAGTAAAATGATTTGTTACAAACAGACTATCAGGCTCATAAAATTGTTCAGAGAAGTAAATATATTCGCCTGTAATGAATCTCTTGGTTGAAGTTATGGAATAAGTTAAAACAAAAACACTATCCAAGAGTTAGGTATGAAAACACGAACCTGAATGCACAGAAAGTGTATTGCACGGAAAGCTAAGGCCAGGATTCAACCACAAAAGCTTGTCAAAAGTTGTCCTGAGAATTTTATGAATGCAATCAAATATTTTTGTGTGTGTCTGTTTGCTGGCTGCTTGGTGTGTTTATTGCTGTGTTTCTTGTCTTTTAACCTCGAACGTTCTCCTCGATGCAATGGTACAGCGTATCCCCTCTTTACTTACGAGAGGGGCAATGGTTATCTTTTCAATGAAGACATCATGTAATCCCACTCATGAATGCCTTGGTTAAAATGACAGCACAACGTCTTTTTTCCTTCACTTGTCAGGACTTCATGTATTTTGAGGAAGAGGACAACGACAACTAGTATGGCACGGGAAGCGTTACTCACGCTCGAACATCTTGGATCTGTTTTTCAAATTAGAAAGACGGGACCATAAAGTAATCAACAAAACCAGATCATTGTATGGTAGATTCATAAGAACGTCATATTTCGGTCTTTTATTAACAATATCTGGTCTTTTAGATTTTCCCGAGTGTTATTGCATAAAGAAAGTATGTTTAACAGTTATACAGTAGAAACTAGTGTTAACATTTTAAGCCTTTTAAATGCATTCTGGTATGAACGCGCTGTGGTGTTCATAATCCAAAGCTAAATCCGTTGTGGTGTTTATCTTTTAAACAAAGATGTGTTGACGTGTTTAGACACAAATGGGTGTTAACAACAAGACACAAAACGCGTTTATGGGGTTGTAACAACTTCTTAATACCAAAACACGTATATTTCCGGGGAAAAAAGGTGTGGTGTTGGTTTTTACAACACTCTAACACTGGCTAAGGCCCGTTTCAAACGTCATGCTTACGACGTTTAGATAAAATTGAATTGAGCAGGGCGTTAGCACGGCGTAAGCACTGCAGTGGTTCGAATTTAATTCAAAAGGCCCAGTCGAACTTAAATAGATCCAACATGGCGGACCAGCTTAACACGAAACGTGATATTTCGATCTTTCAGCCAGAGTCACAAAGAAAACGGATTTAGATTCGGCGGCATTACCCGGACTTTACTTATTTCTCAAAAAGAATCGAGGCCTGTTTATTCTCAAGGCCCGTGTTATGGTTCCCAGCGATCTTGCAGTAACGTCTCAAAGGTCTATCACCCAGGTTAGGCGTTTGATATCACTTGGGAGTCTTATTCCGGCATTTTGACAGGAGTCTTAGTATTCTCTTATATCAGCAGGGATTTAAAAGAGAATATGTACCTGCAGAACCCCATCTCCCTCCGAGCTCTGTCTACCAATCTGCTCCGTGCGTTTCGAGAAATTTTCCATTTGGTGGCCCTATTTTTTTGTTGATGCGTGTGTTTGTCGATGATTATTTCTGAACTCTACGACACATTTTGAACATGCGCACTCCTAATTATCAACGAAGTTTAGGACCAACAGAATAGCAATTGTTTTCGACTGGGCATTAGCACGTTGTTTGAAACTAGACCGTGCTTCTGCCGCACTTAATGATATTAGCACGGCAGACCCTATCGAACCAAAATCCTCTGCCGTACCGAAATCAGTTTGCCGAGACAATGGGTTTCAAACGTTGAATTGTATTCTATGGGGCATAAGCACGACGTTTGACACGGGCCTAAGCATGCAATCAACGAGGGCATTTTTAACGGATACATTATCATATAGTTTCGTGTCGACGTGTAACTTGTTTACAAAAAAAATTAATTTGCATATCTACCATGATTTTCTTTTTATGTGCTGATTTTGATAGCTTAATCTTATAATAAACGTAAATAATAATAATAACCTTGTAAGGCACACTGTTAATGTCTAACGCTCATCGCTGAGGATATTTTTATGGGATCTAGGCGATATGCCCAGACGGTATCTCAACCGTTAACCTTCCCGTTTAAATTTACCACCGTGATTTGGAATAATATGTTTCGAAACTGCATTTGTTGCTGAATTCCACAAAAGGTTTTACTGTCATTTCCAGTTCGGTGTTAGTGTACATTACGAAAAATTAATTCAGGCGTGGTATCTTGACATAAATGGACATTAACAGGGTGAACAAGCTGAGAATTCCTAAAAGGCCGAGAACTCCAAAGTTGCTCTCGCAACCTGCTGCATATTTTGTTAGATGTAGCTCTACTAACTATTCAACGTAAATTTCTATTTATTCAGGTTCAGCTAATACGATCGTTATGTTTTTCGTGTGGTTATTATTAACCTTGTTTTCCTTTTTATGAAGAATTTCATCCTACCGATCGTCTAAATTATTAGATCAGTAAGATTTTAAGCTCATTTTAACCAGTTAATCCTTTTGAGCAAATTGATGAGTGAAATTTAACTATAGGATTTTTCGTTTTGGAGACATAGGAATGATTGCATAGCCAGGATAGTGTTAGCATGTGGCCCCTTTCCCCTAGTAAAACTATGCATTAAGATAAGATATTGATTTTTCTTATTTGTGTGTTGATTTATCATCACGTCTTTATCATGGCGCTGGAACAAAATTATTTACAAATGAAATTAAGACGTTGGACGTTTATTAAAGTTTGCTTCAGGGAAATGATCATAAATTGCACATTTTTATTAAATCGAAAAGAGAAATTTAATATCAAATTACCACCATCCGAGAGAAAAACACCTCAAATCATACGAGTTTACTCTGAAAGAAAAAAAAATACCATATAAAAAATGAAATTCCAACACAAATAGATCAGGAAAGACAAAGAGAGTGGATATAGGTAACAGGAAATGTTAAAGAAACACCTAAATAGTAAAATTGTATTTATTATTACAAGACTGATATTTACTCGGTTTGGCAGACTTGTACATTAATTGCACAAGGATATTGAAACTGAGGTTTTGGCCTCTTTCTGGCTTTTATTTTAGGAACGAAACTGCAAAAAGGGAATAAGTAGTTGGGTAGGCCGTTAACACTGATACATGTATTTGAAAGGTCTAAACGAAGGATAATCAATGCCATGTTCTTTAATGCTTTCATTGTAAATAAACTACCCCTTTTACGGTCAATGAATTAGAAATGTATAACAAGCCACTGTGACTTCTTAAAGTGATCTGTATCTCTAAGGGAACAGGTATGTGCTTGGCCGGTCTTAAACGAGCGTTTAAGATCGACTCAGGAGAATGGACGCGATTTATGCCTGGACCTTAGTCGGGGGCATTATCAGCGTTCATTTTTAAATGGGAATAAATATGTGCTTAATTAATACTGACCAAGTACATTTTATCCCCATTTATAGATACCATTTTAGTCAGAGAGTCAAAGGAAATCAATATATAACAAATTTCCAAGGATTTTGTTTAAGAATTTTACTTCCATTTTCCCCACTACTCCCTTACTTGGTGTGCGCATTGTTAGCCAAGTGTACACACACTTCTGTCCACTATTAACTCTTTCGTATCAAGGTGCCAGTGCGTGCTTTGCACAGCGGGCATTATTACATCGTATCGCAGCGGGCAATATCAAACAGGGCCACGTGACGTTTATCGACCAATAGGAATAGAACAACTTTTCCATGTTTTTATGAATGTATTTTAATGCATCTGTATCTTTAACAGGATCGGTGTCACATACCACTATACAGACACGTCTGTACTGGCACTTTCCAGGCAGTAATTATACCAGAATAGTGTCTTAAAACTTCTGACCTAAACCGACGTCGGGTCGGGGCGGATTTCCCATCATTTCAGATACACGATTTTCGAGTCGAGGTCATTGCGATAAGTCAAGTCTGAAAAACGCTAAATTGTCCAAAAGAAAACGAAATTTCAGGTCTATTTTGTATTTTAGTCATAAAGGGGAAATGATTTGACGATATTAACGTAATGATGAGGCATAGGTTTGAAGCAGGAACCGACTGCAGCGCAAAAGATAGTTTGTGGAGGTTTACTCAGCGCGAGCAGCACTTCATCAAACGGCTTGTTTGAACAGCGCCCCCAATCAGTGGGCCTCACGCGCATAATGGTGGGGTCGCTAGTCCATGGGCGGGGGGTGCTTCTGATCCCAGCGGCTACAGCCAAGAATTAAGTAGGCGGTTGGGTCGGCTTAGGCGCGAACCAGGTGGCTGGTGCTGGTTTTACGGGTCATTATCCAGCAGACACGGCGGATAAGGGAGTAACCAGGCGCTCCAAAGGGGATCAAAGACCAAAATATCCTGCTATTCTCTGTCTACCACTTCGTTAGATATCTATTAATTTCCCGTATATTGTTTTCTCCCAGGGGTATTTACGCAGATTTGGGACTAAGTCCAGTTGTAACACGATGCTCACAGGTTATCATCCCTGCAACGATTTTTCTGCTAGATAGTGGCATAAGTTTTCATTTGCTTCTTTTTCGGTCTGAAAGTTGCAATAAAACGCATCCCGACCATTAAAATATGTCAACTTGACAACAATGTTTTGATAATACTCTGCACAAACATTATAACACTAACGAGATGTAAAAGATAGATGCATGGACAGCTGTTCTCAGCCAACACAGAGCAAAATTTCTACAGGTTTTAAGATCATGATACAATTATACTATCCAAATTAAAATCTGAGTCCCCAGTTGGAAATACTGTGGTGCAATTCGGCCTTGTCGACACGATAGAAGGGCGGATCTCCTTCTTGTAGAATGTACAAATCGGGTGTAACAAAGTTGATGATTTGCATTATTCCTTCCTCGGATAATCTGTATCGTCGTTGCAACTGTGCATCTCTAAAATATTTTCCGATTCCCCTGGCGCGGAACATGTATTCTCTTCCTATAGCACGACGAAATTCTATCAATTGACCCCAATCACGAGGAAGCCATTTTTATTTTGTTCCCTGAATCTATCATACTCAATTTAAACTACTACACAGGATGGTGCCAGACTATTCTCGACCCCGAAACTCACCTTCAGTTGTTTTTAAAATGTGGCTTAAAGATTAGGGTATAAGTTATCGCAGATTTTGAATTATTCCCAACCAAAACTGCCATGAATTTGCATGAATTCTTATTTCGTTGTTATTTTCACTCTCAGGTTCCTAAAATGAAAAGTTAAATTTCACTTTAAAACGGCCCACTGGCAATTCTACCTCAGCGGTGGTCAGTAGTATACTTTTTAAAAACTGTGTTCTACAATGCGTATTATGGAAAATATATCAGTAATTAACAGAGAATCTTTGTAGTGGACGCACTTTGTAACTGTACGGTGATTTTTTGCGTTACAACAGAACTCCGTAACAAGCTTTGTAAATGTACAACTTTTCTCTGTAACATGAATTAAGATAAATTTGCATTTTGACTTTGGTGCCCCGAACCACTTTCATAAAGCTGGTTTTGTCATTTTTCTCGTGTTTCATATAATTGCAAGTAATGTTTGTGGAGAAAGAATTTTATTTTAAGTCATCCGGCGTGCCAAAAAATAACGGCTAAAAATATGTTGTTACCCTGCCATTCTGCCAACTGTGACTAAATTCGAAGGAAAAACGATACACATATACGCAAGATTATATGTACATAGATTAGTCTAGTAGCCACTGTGATCATACAGCGTCTGTCAGGTGAGGAAATATGTCTTTACACATTAAATAAAAACCAAACGTGCCAATGTCATCACCAACGAAAAGCGTAGGTAGCCTCCCTCAATCTCATAAGAAACCTTATCTCTTCACCTTCGTGTACGTTGCTTCCACGAATTGTATTTATAAATAATAAGTATATCTATATTTCCAAATAGGTCACTTGGGAGACATTTTGTGGTTCATTTTTCAACATTAGGGAGACATTGGTCATTAGGGATACATTTAAATGTCACAGACATTTCTCTCAATTCTGCGCTTATTTAAAAATAAGTGAAGTGATCCAGCATGCAAAAAATATACCCCCAGCGAACTTTTTAAGGAAATCAGCGACAGCCGAAGAAACAATACCTGCGGTTTTTTTTACTTGAAATCAAGTTTGTCTGGAAAACACTGGCAATACAAGACGGAGAGACGCTTGGAGGCGACAAACATACCATTCCACGTGACCCGTCCACTGCTTGCGTACCATATAGTATGGATAGCAAGACCCGATGATGCCGACTATTCTCGTCTAATCAAGGGTCCGGTATCACCCAATGTCCACGTGACCAAAACTGGAGCACGTCCCCAGTTTCCGAAAATATCCAAAATTTTCCGAATTCGTTCCGGTTCACATTCGATAGCATTGTTGATGTTTGAGTATTTCCGACAGTGTTTGTATTCGCATAGGATGTGCTTTCTCTTTTGCGTGTCGCCCACACACAATACTATTTTTCTCCCTTCTTACGCATGCATTCTGTTTTTTTTTTTTTTTAAGTGACTGCCAACATGGAACATCCCGAGGGCTTTCCTTATAACCCTTGACATGTTGTGTATATATATCTGTGGGGAAACCTGAATGAAGATTTTATTAAAAGTCGTCAGCAATCTTTGGTCAGGGAACCAGATATGCGTGCTCACTCTTCGGCTAAAATGAGCATGCTCAATGACGTTTGCCGTCACCGAGCTTCTCAAAAGCCTCCATATAATTTACCCTACTAATTCAGAAAAACCTTAATCGTTTTCACATTTTATTACAAATCTTTAATTCGTTATCTCAGTCTACACCTCTTAATTCCAAGTAGTTCCTATTCTAAGCAATGAAAATTAACTAAACTTGTCTGACTTTTGGAGTGTGGATTGCTAAAGAGATATTCCAGAGTTACCATTTCTTTCGAAAAACATACGAATTTTTAACGTCTGTGCTTCGATTTCTTCACACTTTCAGTGCAATGGCGTCTCTGGGATGGCGGTATAGTTCTTGTCCAGGATGGGGAAAACGCTTGCATTAGCAGTAAGCGGTGGAAGGTGTCAATTTACGGGTATTTTCGAGGAAAACTGTGGATTTTCGTCTCCCTTCTCTTTAGATTTGCCTCTTTCCCTTTTTAAATTCGAAAGCCCTGTCGTGCACTTAAGTATAAATTTCCAGAAAGTGAAGTCTACATTGTTGAAGTTAGTTTTTATGGGACATATTTTTCTGGAATTCAATTGTCTTACACAAGACAAATTTCCAACCTCAACTCTTAAAGGCAAAAATTATTGTTAAAAACATATATTCGCTCATGCTGGGGCTCCCCTCTATTTGCTTCCATTTTCCCCTTTCCTTATGCCCCTTCCTTTGATCCACCGCAGCTCTCCATGGTCATGCCAATTGAACCTTCGTTCAACTTTACCTCACATGACCTTTGACTGATACTGCAGTATTCTGGTTTGCGAGCTACCAACGTCCATTACGAAGTTTGTCTGCTACATAGAGTAGTTGTGCTGAGGTCGTGCACACTTTCTTATCTCTATAATGGGTGTGTGTGTGTGTCCAAAGGGACACTTGACTTATCTCGCACATTTTTACACTTGGTTTTTTTTGGGGGGGGGGTTCAAATTCATGACCAGTTAATTTGAAATTTCTCTCAAAAAATCATGTTCTTACACATCTCACATATACTTTCGTCTTTGTGGTTACTCCTTTTCGAACTTGGTTCAAACAGTTACAAATGTCTGCAATTGTTGAATGTGTTCAATTTCTAACTCTTTTGCATAATTTCGTCATTTTGCTATCAACGTTAAATAAGTTTCGTTCAAACTAGTCATATGATTGTATGTATTTGGTATTTGTACGTTTTCATCTGCGTGCTTCTACTTAAACGTTTTGTATTTTCCTTGTTTAGTAATAACACAGGTCTGTTATGTGAAATAAAATCAAATTTATTTCTTTTCCAGGCTCATTTGGTATACTGATTGTTGAAATACAACTGGAAAAAAATTAAGGTACATACATAAATAAATGAAATGATATTTCCGTTCCACGCGAGAAAAGTAGGCCTATACTTCTGAAAAGCAAACTGTATTAAGAATTCATATCTCCACAAACATTCGATTCAGTTCTTGTCTTTTTATATTTTTTCCTGCGATATACCCTGCCTAGTATGATTGTGCACCATTCTGCATATTTGATGGAAACATTCTGGATATTGATCGAATGAAAACTTAATCAATCTTTAAATTATATAGGCGCGTACACGATCAATCTGACAAATTCGAATTGACCTACCAATGGCTAAAGCGTTGATGGAGCGTTCCGGTTTTCTTGAGACAAATTTAAAGTAAATAGTTTATGAATATGAACGAAAAACGTTTGAAAATGTGCAGGAAGGCCTAAATAACAGTGAGATTCTCACTGACGTCAGCACACTGAAGCATGCATAATGCAGTCAATAGCTCCATAAATAACAAGCAGTGTGCATCAATTGTACAAAGAACCATCAACACTAAACACGTCTGATAATATGAGCACCGTTAATCGGCAAATATTAGTTAAGTTTACTTTCAATGTTTGAACTGCACAATCGTACTTACGTGATCTAATTTGAGCTCTCTATTTACCCTCTTGTCTTTTTCAGATCCCCAATAGCCGTAAAAAAGCAAAATACACAGATTAGACTTTTCATTGATCTATGATCTTATACATTTGATCCATCCCTAAAGCCAGGGCAGTTAAGCCCTCTCTTCCTCTTGGTTGATCGCCCGAGTGCGTGTTCCATATGACATGATGCCATTTTGTGAGTCTTCTATAGGCGTACGTCCTCAGCCTCGTAGCACGTTTTTGCTTCCTCTGAAAACCATGGGGGAAAATGTAAGACAGTTCATCTGAGTGGTAGTTCTGAACAAGTAACAACGTTTGATAAAAATGATGGATGTGTCTTTCCATGAATTGGAGAAACTCTCCAATCTGAAGAACCTGAGCATCAATGCTTTGTCGACTGTTACATCAAATGCATAGGTAACCCTCACCAGCGATCTGAACTAGTTTTGGTATGAACTCGTTCCACATGAGGCACTCTCTCATCTTGATGCCACGCCCATTCCCCATGGAGGGTGACAGGTCTTTGTAGGCCATTTCCTCGAGGGTAAACAGCGGCCATTCCGGCAGCTTCCCCTCCTCCCCCTGCTCACCAGTCAAAGACGACAAGTTTGGATTGCTACAAATCGGAATAAAATGGCAAAGTACATTGCAAGTTTCGATTTAACAGATATCGGGCTACGAGACGCCCGTCTTCTTTTAAGATGGCGGATATTTCTAAGATGAAGGATGAACTTTTCAACCAACTCACACAAGCTTTTGAGCCTTGATGAGTTTGAAATTGCACGTATAAGTTCCATATATATACACATATACATGTATAACTGAATCATTTTTTCATGAAAATTGAAAAATAAAAACAAGAATACATGCATGAGGCATATGTGAAAACAGCAGAAGGTGAGAATGAGAAGCTATTTTCTTATTTGGTCTAGCAATGATTTTCCGATTTGCAAGTAAAAGAAATCAAATCTCCCAAATGTGAAACGACTTCCGGACGAAATCTGTCCTGCTTGAACGCTGATGGTAGTATTCGATTTACAGGTAAGTAAATACAGTAAGTAAAGAATCTACCAGGTAAAGAAGTGCTTTCCCCTTTTTGGATTTTGGCATCAATCACGAATGTGTTACCACACAAATGTCAACTACAATTCCATTTCACTGGCTGCCTAACAATTCAAATACATTTCTCTTCCAGCTCACCCGGTTTTGGCTAAATTGGCCCAGTATTTGATGGTTTGGATCGACATTAAGGCTTCATCGTCAGTGAACGACCATCTCGCAGAAGGGTAGAGAGGGAGGCCACCGATGAAAATGAGATCATCACCGTGCATAGCCTTGGTCCAGTTATTGCCCATCAAGGTCGTGGTAGCAACGTACTTCATGTTGTAGTGGTACACCTTGCGGCCCGCCTTGGTGAAGGCCTTGGCCGTTTTCACCCCGGGACAGACGAACATGGCATCGCCAAGAACCTGCGAGAGGCTCTGGAGATAATCACAGTCCGGCGCGTTTGCGCAAGTAGTATTGATATACATCATCTTAGCTGCGTCTGCTACAATCAGCTCAGGGCTTACAATCAAAGCCAGGAAACATCTGACGTACACGTCGAAGCTGTAGCTGTCGACAAACGGCGCCTTGTAAATGTTGTCCGGGAAGAAAGGTTTAATGAAGAACATACCCTCATCAGCATTAGCCCCGATAATGGAGACAGCATCGTTGATGGCGCCCTGCTCGTAGAGGTCCTTTGGATCAGCAGGAATAACCTCCCCATCAACAACTGGTACAAAGGGCAAGGCTCCCCCTCCAGATTCTGAAAGTGACTGCAACAGGTATTTCACAATGAAAAGATGCCTTGCTAGGTTGGAAAGAAAAGTAAACAGATTATGTAAAACAAATTCCAGCATGGATTGAGTTAATAACTGCAAGCAGTAACCTATAATTGAAGTCGTCAGCTGGGCACTTGACAAATATATCTTCTCATAAAGTTTGGGCAGTGATGCAACGCAAACCTTCTCATGTTGGTTTTCGATGATCTTGTCAAATCCCTCCAACTGCTGCAGGCATTCCAGCAAGTCCTCAGACGTCTGTCGTTCGCAGCCGACTAGCTTTCCAAGAGTGAAAGCTCGACCACGGGCCTTACTGCCCTGAATGGTTGCCCAGGGAGCAGCGGCATTACCACTCTGTATATAAGGAAGAGATACGCTCATGTGAAAGATCAGTACATTTCTTTGATCAGTCATAGGGCCCTATCAAAAGATGTTGATGGTCCGCATGATCACAAGGTTCCGTGTGATCGGTAGGGGGCATGTGGCCTAGTTGTTAGGGTTTGTAGCTTCTGAGCATAGGGTCAGGGGTTCGAATCCAGCTGGTGGCAAGTCACTTCACGCTTACATGCCTCTCCACCCAGGAGTAAATGGGAGTTTAATATGTTTAGCAGTTTGCAACTGATATGGAAACACTGGTTTCGTATACTCAGCGCAAAGAGACTGTATAGTATCATGTGCATTATAAGAACTGTTCACTATGATTATTACCGGCCGCCATATCCATAACAGAAGGTCAGTGGCAAAATACGTTGTATATTACAATCTATGACAACAAGGTTCAGTTTCACATAAACTAACCGTGATTTTAATTACTGGTCACAACTGCCATTTTACGCTTGTTATTATTCTAATCCAGTACACTGGTGCTGGCTTTCCACATTTCTCATATTTTTTTTCCATTCGTAAGGCTTTTTAGGCTTGCCAGTGTAAAACTATGCACAAGGGGTGACAGTTGGGTGCTCTTAAAAGCGGCCTATTCTGAAAAACATCTCAGAGTGTCGACTCGGAAGCAAATTTGATCACTTATACCTGGAAAAATGTCATTTTAGAATCGTGACTTTGTAACTGCAGATAAAAAGTTTTCATCCAAAACGATCACAAAGTAACTGTCACTCACAGTTGAGGGGTGTATTTGATGGATTATTTGGGGGATATTTTGCGCGTTGCGTCGTACGTCGTGTCGTGCTTCAGGCGACGCAATGCACGACACGACGCACGACGTGACGCACGACAGCAAGACGCGACCGGCGATGGAAAAGGCGACGTTTAGGCAGAAAAAATCCAACAAGGAAAGAACTTAAGGTAGCACGACGCGACGGGCGACGGCACGATGCAACGCACGACACGACGCGTCGTTTGTGTACAAACGAAATGGCAAGAAGGCGACGGTTCGACCCGACGGCCCGCTGCAAGGGAACCGTCGTGCCGTGGCGTCGTCTGGTTGCGTCGCCTGGAGGGAGGCTGAAGAGAGAGAGAAATGTTTGTCGTAAATAGTACACCATACCTCTGTCAGTCGTGATTTCGTTGGTTACCGTTTACCTTGGCTCTACTCACGTATTGGAAATGAAGGAACCAGTCTAGAGAGACTGAATAGACTTGTACATGTACTGTGAGTATACCGTTCAAACCTCAAATTGGTGTTGCGTCTGTTCGTTTATTCTTTTACGGTTGAACAGTCATGTTGTTTACTATATAACTGGTCGGTTGTTAACTGTTAAAAAACTCTTGCATGGCCTACACAGAAAGGACAGTAGACACTAACCCAGCCCGCCAAACTTAGTAATTTCGTGGACTTGTGTTAGTTTAGGTTTAAGCTCGCACGCTGCTTCACGTTACAATTGAAGATTGCGTACCCGAAAGTGGTGCGGACCCTAATGTTGGGCTCTTCGTGTTTTCGCTTCGAACGTTTGTGTATGGAGCAATATTTTACCTTCAATCTCACAAAAGGTGAAATTTAATCAACTCCAAATATTCTGATTCATAAATGTTGATTTCATACATCCGCTACAAAGTTACGATTAAATTTTATTTTGGCCCGATTTTCCCATTTTTTTTCGGAATGAACGCTTTTAAATGCGCCCGAAATTCTTTTTCACAATTTTTAGTTAGATGAGGGGAGATAATAAAGATTTACTAGAATTTAACAATTTAATATAACTGCTGATATTTATTGTGGGATTTTCTGAGACCTTTTAATAATAATGTTCATACCATTCGCTCGTCACCCAGCGCCCGATTGTAGGGTGATAGGTGACGAGCAAATTCATATCAAGCCAATTTACCGTGAATGTTGAAAACTGAAGTTTAAAAGTCTTACATTCATCCTGACAAAGATGGAACTTGTTCCAAAGCACATTATGATAGGCCTTTGTATAAAAATATGTGTTCCCCATGCCAAAAGTTTCACTTTTGTGTTTGACGACCCCCCCCCCCCAGTCTCTGGTCAGGCAATGGGCCAGAATTGAAAAGGTGCTTGCCCTCTCACGAAGTAGGTTCGGGTCTCCCGAGACGGTCCAAACGCTAAACTGCACTTTCTATTCAAGAAAATGCAGTTTTTTGGGGGAAAGGAAACTCAAGGCATGCTGATCTTAGTCTGTATGACTGCGTGGAGTCAGAATCGACAAATGCTTTGAGAAATATGCGCTAGCGCAACTTAGAGATGGCACACTAAAAGAGCAGTTTATTCAGGGCAGTAGAAAATGTTGCACACAGCCGAGAGAACTACGCTAACTTTGAACCAGAGCTTTCGTTTTACTTTCTGGAGTTCTATGGGCCAGTCCTAGTCCTTAAGCTGTAGTAGGATTATAGACGATCGGAAGAGTGAGACCGAAGAATGTCCAATACACTGTACTCAGTTAATCGGGCAAGTAGTTCCGAGATAATTGATGCAGTGGGCTTGCGTGTGCGTCGTAGTAAGGGACAAAAGCTGTCGGCTGGTTTGGCAAAGGCTTCAATAGTACTACTGACCATTCTCATTCAGTGCCCAATATAGTAGCAGAGACCAATGTTCACGTTAAATCGCTGATCTGATGCAATGGAGAAATTAAATGGTAATATCTGATTCTACGTGTCAAAGGTCAGAGACACGTCCCCACGGTCCAACGTGTAGCTTTTGTTTAACCGCAAGCCACCCTGTGGAAGATTACTTAAATAATCATGTGAGATTGTGGAGTATTTTAAGCAGTTAGGAGGGTGATCATAGCAAGCTCGATCCATCCAGGCAGGGTCAAACATAGCAATAGTACACGTAGGCCTATGTGTACTGTACCTGTCCTTGCAAGTATAAGGTCTCCCCATCTGACGAGGAATCAGCATTCATTTATGCTTATCGAGTAGTAATGGAAGAATCTGATGCCTGAAAGTTCTGGGATAACGTGAGGGTCCACTTCCAGGGCCAAATGACGTTCCCAGACATTCATGGCGAGTTTGCGTTTATTGTCTTTTTATTTTGGCCATCAGGCTAGAACGTTCGTGCTTCAAGTGAGTATGAACTTGAAGCTGTGGCTAAAGAAGGTGATAGAATGCGCTCTTATTGCACCCGTATAATGCAGCACTACTGCAAGAGATTTAACCTTGTTGGAAATCGTGCGATTAATCGGTAATAATAGCGCATCATGCCCAGTCAGATGACTGAGGTTAAGTAAAGGGTCCATGAAGACCTCTGTGAAGAAAATGGTAATTAATTGTTTAAATGTCTCCAGTATGGCAATAACAAAAAGCGGATGTAAATATGGAATACAATTTCCTCTGTCGTGGTTAATTTTACTTACCCCTCAAAAGAGTATTTTAATCCTGAAATTTATGAAGTCATGTGTGACGTACATTCGAGAACCCAAAAATATAGTCAGGCACCCTTTTGGTACGAAAGAAAAACATGGACACTGAACACGCATAATTTCCGTAGCCGCGGATTGGTCGAATGTAAAATACATGTATATATATACACATGTATGTCAACTAGTACAACGCACGGGCGCCCTGTAAAAGCATGTGCGTACGCGGTACCACCGTATCGGCAATCACACACAAGCATATAGAGTGGAATAGCCTGGGCCGATAGGGAAGCATTTCTCGACCTTTGTCGTTCATTTTTCACGAAAGCTCCTTTTTTGTCAGCTCCGTCTTTGTTCACGGTCTTTTTTTAAATTTCCCATAGATCTGATTTAAACAATCCTTTAACAATCCTGTGGCTATAAATGCAGACTGCACAGTTTGGAACTCCCTGTTGGTGCTGACCATTTTGGCTGTGGTCGGCGGGACTTCCGATGCCAAAATTCGTCTAACTTCGCTTCGGATGAAAAGTTATTAAGGTTTGTCTAATAAATGTGGTAGGCATGATCTGTAAACTCACCCAAAAATTGGACTGAATTTTCTGAACTCGACCCAAAACAAGCATAGACACACTAGCGGCACGAGACGATGTCTACTCAAAATTAATGTACGTCACAGATATGCAAAGTTTCGATGTTAATGAGCTGTCTTTAGGGGCGGGGCCGTTCTGACCAAAAATTGTTTAATGTTTTCCCCATTTTTAATCAAAGCAGCAACTTCAACTTTCTTGATATCGTGTAAAAACATAACATCTTCAATTAAAATTAATGAAAACAACTTTTCATGAGCCCTTTAGGAATCTACTCCAGGATTTTTGGAAGGAAAGATCATGTACTCCAGGTACTGGTGGTTAGGCCACTCAACAAATCATGAAACGTTGGAGGCCCAGACACATTTATTTGGTCTGATAATACTGAGAAGACATTTAAGTTTCTGAAAGTGCGCACTGCTCCAGTTCTGACCCTTACTCGTTTTGATTGGGATGCCTTATTGAAGGGCATCAGAGCATCTTTGTCACAACACAGTGGCAGTGGAGTGCTCCATGAAGTGGCGTCCTCCAGCAGTTATTTCAGACGCGCTAAGAGGAATAACGCCAACTTCTCGAGCTGTTAAGCTTGAGTTGCTTGCCCTTAAATAATGGGCAGTTGCCGACAAATCCCGATCAGACCTTCTCAGCAGGCATACAGGATTGATAATATTCCAGTGGCACACTCAGACTTCTCGTCTAGGAGTAACCCAGAAGCGCTGGGTAGCCCAGGGCCATTCAAATAAATGTACTGAAGCAATATGTCGCATCCCGCGTGAGAAAGTTACTACTGTTGTTGTAGTTCAGACACTGTCCCTACTTTCCCAAAGAGCTCGTGGAATTCCTGTGGCCTCCCTGTAGGACAAGGCACAGTCACTTCTCCCTAATACACCCATGCAGAGAGTTTTGCCATGAAGAAAGATGATTCAATTCTGAAAGAAGTCTGGATCCGGCAGAACAGGCGCTGGGAACCAGGTCAAGATGATTCATGCTTCCAAACCAAGAGTAATGAGCTAAAAGGATGACTGAGTAATGAATGGTCCCGTATTGAAAAGCGATTTGAAACTCTGTACAGGGCTGTCCATAAGCCGGGCCATGGGCAGGTGTTTCGGTTGTTGGTGGCACACCCGCGCATTACCGTCATCAAAGCATGTCATAATTAATGGGAACATCGTATCAGGGCTGTTGTTTCTGGCCTATGATGAATAATCAGGTTCAAGACCATGTGAACATTTTTTTTTCACTGAATCATAGCAAAAGCCGTGTAAGTAAGTAAGTTTCATCTGGCTCAATGACTGCATGGAGTCATCATCGGCAAGTGAGAAATATGCGCTAATGTAACTTAGTGAGCACTTTATTCGGGGTAGTAGAGTTGTGGCAATCGGACGAGAACTGCGCAAGCTACCAGAACTTTCGCTCGTCTAAGTTCAGCTAGCCCTAAACTTGTTGCGGTATTCCAACGACATACAGAAAAGTAAGTTAACCAAAAATTAAGCAATACGTGGGTGATCAGACAAGCACAATCGTATTATTAAATGTGCCATTGAGGGGGTTACACTCTTGATGAACCGTAAAGCCTCCGTCCGAGACGGCAGGTTGTGAGATTAGCTTACTTGTTGTTGGCCTTGGCTGGTGGAGGCAAAGTGCACCCATTCTACAAAGTGCTGTGCTGGCTGGTGTGTAAAGAGGGGACTTGTTACGGCCAGTAATGTAACAATCGGTCAATAATGTAACAATCGGTCAATAATGTAACAATCGGTCAATAGTGTAACAATCGGTCGATAATGTAACAGTCGGTCAATAATGTAACAATCGGTCAATAATGTAATACCGGCCGATAATGTGATAAAAATCGGCTGATGATGTAAAACCCAAACCGGCCAATAATGTAATGACACGGAGGCCGATAATGTAACATCCCTAGATTTGCTTGTTTCTTAGAGGGCTTTGGGGGACTTAGGTTTTCTTCAAATTTTCCCTGCAGATCCTTCTTATTTTACCTTATTGCTTTTGAAGTAACAATTTTTCAATTTTTCTGTCATCAAGTTATAAACTGAACATGAACGTCATCATTTCCCAAGGCGTATATAACACTTAAAGAATCATGGTGAAATCATTACATAAATCTTGTTCTTTTATTTAGTATTGAGGTGATTTCAATTAACATGCACAGTCACAGACCGTAACAGGCCTCCTGGAGAAACTCACCGGGAGGGTTAAGACTTCTTTTAATACTGAGCATAAGTTCTTAGCATTGCTTTGAAGTGAAACATTAAAGTGATAGGGGCTGTATTAGAGTCAGGTTAAGCGTTTCTCATGTATGTTGGATCGGATTATTGGCTAAGAGATCAGTAATCAGTCGGAAGATTATTGTTGCTGGTAATTTCGTAACGGAATATCGAGGTTCAGTCGGCATGATCTATTGCCTGTGATCTGAGAGGTTTACCGGGAGCTCCTCGACCTTGTCAATCCATAAGCTAGGTTAGTGGAGACGGTAGCTAACCTACGGTCACATAATTAAGTAATGTGCAGTAATTATTGAGGTTTACCTTGTACAGATTGATTCTGTTGATTATATATAGCTCGTCTGCGTTTCTCTTCAATTCAGTAACTTTTGTTGGGCAGAGAGTTCTTTAATCCTTAGCCGTCGGTATACTGCAGACAAACGGACAGGCCTAGAACAACAGTTATCCGTTCGTGACAATCCCCACCCCTTCCTCCCGTATAATCGCTCATGCCCGTGGGAGAATAATACGTATTCTTGGTTGGGGGAAAAACTGCCACAACTTAACCACTTCTTGCGTCTCTCCAACCAAAAGTTATTGCACTAGCTTGGAGTAACCGGGAATGGACTGGCCTCCCATCCAAGGAAAAATAGAAGTATTTTCAGTCGTTTCATGCCCAGGAAATCTATGGTAAACTCTGGCCTGAAATCCCTTCTCTATTGATATATTTCAATCAAATCACTTTGGGGGTTTTACCTCCAAGATGGCACCCCGGTAGAGTCCTCTACTGCCCGGTGACAACATGTGCAAACCCAAGCTGGCAGCCCCAGCACTCTCACCAAAGATGGCCACTCGTGTAGGATCACCGCCGAAAGCTGACCACCATCAGACAAAGAAAACAAAACAAAAATGACACGGATTTCAATTCAACACTTACAAAACGGATTTTTGATAACCCTCCCTCGAACAGTTGGATGATAATTTAAAAAGATGAAAACTAGTCTATTAATCGTCCTCCCCTGTGACCATGGTTGCAAAACAGGGGGAAGGGGTAGAATTCCATATTTAAGTGGGCATACGATTATTTGCTCTTAGGAAAAAGTAATTAAACAACCAACAACAGAACACAATGCGTGCATCTTTAAAAAAAAAACATACAAAAAGTATGAAAAAACTCTGGGTACGCAATTCAAGCAACGTTGCATCTTTGGTTTGGCATACCTTTGATGTTGTCTCTCACCCATTCCATGGCTAGACGCTGGTCTAAAAGGCCCATGTTACCCCGGATGACGTCATCGTCTTGTGCAAAAAGGAAAAAACGAAACTGTGAGCAGTTCTTATATCGCTATCGTTGCATATGGGGTGTGAGCAAGGCAATGGTGGCTTTTTCTGAGGGAGTCCATTGCAATGGGTGAGTTGGCACACGGCGACTGCATAGGACCGATTTCTTTTTGCACTTCTGTTTGGCTACTTGCATGATCTTTAATAAGTCGCTTTGAACTATAAGGACGAGCCTGGGGGCCTAAACCAACACCCTAGACATCATGCATGCGTTACACTGGCTCTAGCTGTCTCTGTTTGGAATTTTAATAACTCACTCGTTGAAAGGAAGCCGAGAGCCCCGAGTCGATAGTTCAGTGTTACGACAATAACATTACCAACAGCAGCAGTGGCAATTGGGTACACACCCCCAGCGACACCAGCTCCTATCATGAAGGATCCACCATGAATGTAGACGAGAACGGCTGAGTTTGGAGGCTATAAGGTGACGCCAGAGAATTGGAATGTTAAGATAACATGTTAAGATAACAAATTAATTTGATCTGCTTAGTAAAGATTACTAAGCAGATCAAATTAATTTGTTTCTCGTCTTCACCAGCTCACTTCCCTCTCTTTCTTCTGTACATTTGTTGGTTTGATTACTTTTAATGTTAGATTTTTGTCACTTTGGTCACTCCTCGTTTTTGAAAAACAAACGGAACATATGCCAAAGAGTAGAGAAACATCAATCTATTGTCTTGGATATTCCCCTCATGGCCCCGATTTCGAATACTCTATAAGAAGATTATGCAAACCTGCTGCAGTTTACAAGCTGTTCATATATTTTAGGGAAAGAATCACTTTCTTTTGGAATTACAGTTTTTGAGGGTATGGACGTAACGTTTACCATTTATACTTTTTCCACATGTTCCCCTGAGAAGGGTAACCCCCTTTTCTCGATAAAAGTACCGAAATTAAAATGTGCGGCCCCTCTTTAAAACTTGTGTATTTTACACATAATGGTCACGATATCAGAATCATGCACGCTTTTAATAACTCTATTGAAGCAAAGGTTTGATCCTCAAGGCCAATGCTATGGCCAAGGCTTAGACCCTCAAGCTGAGGCCAAGGCCCTGAAGTATAATATTACTACTTCTGTGGTACAACTGTGCCCCCAAGAAACGCACCACAAAGTGACATTTATTTTCCCCCAAAACAATTACTAGAGAAATTTGTTGTTTTAGTATCGAGATGAAACTTAAAATGCTGTCTCTTTAAAACTGTAAACTTTATTTAACCCTAAAGAGTCGGGTTATTTTGGCCTTTCCCACAGCCGGGGGCGGACTCTGATGACCCCCAAAGAACTCGGCTGTGCCATGATGGGTTTTTAAAACTTGACGAGCATGTATAGACACTTATTATCATTACAAATGTGAAGTTTACCTCAGTTGAACATATAGTTTTGTTGTTATGATCATTTGAAGTTCATGGCTACATGAGTGCCAGTACGCGTGCATGGAGCACCGCAGCTAAAAAAGTATACGCTTTTGGCTGACCTGTCTCGGGAAAATGCGCGCATCTCCAGAACAGTGTGTTTGAGTTTTGCAAATATGCATGTTGTCTAAATAACTGCAAAGAGTTTCTCTAAAAATTGCAAATGGCTCAACTCCTGAAATATGCATTGCGGCGATATCAGGTTTATATAGGGTTAAATCCAATGAGGTTGCGGAGATGATTATAATGACAACTATTTTTATAAGACACCAGCAATCACGCACCTGTGTTTACTCCATTAAACAGTATATCCGTAAGACCATCGAAAATGGCCCACAGAATAAGGATATTGAGCTGAGAGTTCTGCGCTTTGAAAATGAAACTATCTCTACATCATAGCATGGGCTTCAGATGAATTGTTCAGTGAAGAAAGAAAACAATATCAAGCTTTAGTTTGATACTGTTAGAGTTCCATGGAGAAATGAATGCTACATTTGGGCTGTATTTTGGGGGAGATACTGTACATGTATAAAATTAATTATTTATTACAGAGATGGGGGTTGACAACTCCATGTTGACAAGTAAAATGAATTCTGTACACGACGAGCTCAAGATCAGACCATATACAGTCGAACCTCAGTAATAAGAGCACTGTTAATACAAGATTCTGCTCGTAACAAGGACATTTTTAGGTCCCATTTTTCTTTTTTTTTCATTGTTTTCATTCCTGATAATACAAGGTTTCTATTATGACAAGGTAATTTGCCAAGTCCGAAAGACCTCTTATTAACGAGGTTCGAGTGTAGACAGAAATGCATAATTTGCAAAATATTTTAGCAAAATATCATTTCCTGCGTGGAGCAGTATCCTTTTAGAGGGCGATTAGCAGTCTGCAACACAGATGTTCTATCTACCTCAGTATTCTATATAATTTTATGGAAGTTAAAAATAATTTCCCTGGCCTTGTGGCCACAAACAATGTTTTAATACATAAAATTACCACAGCTTTGTTTTGAGGAAGCAGCAAAATGTTCTCTCAAACGTTGTTCATACTGTAAATGTACAAGTAAACAAATCTAGGGCATTCCCTTGTCCTTAGCAAACATGATTATCTTAAATATTGCAGACTTTGCAGACAACTCAAAGCTGACCCTAGGAAGTACATGTGCGTTTGCAGAACAGCAACATTTCAAACAATTGTACCTGGAGAATTAAAAAAAATCAAAGGGCTTGAAGAGCATGGCTCTAAAATTACAAGGCATTGATCTCTCAAGGCTATGGTCAAGGCCAAGGCATTTGTCCTCAATCCTTAAGGCTAAGGCCCTAAAATCAAGGCTTCAGGTAGCCAAGGATCAGCACTGAACTTCTGAAGGGCACCACATCACTGTTACCACACCAACACTGTGTCACATTTGACCCTATGGGGCTAGTTATTCCGAAGTGGAGTCCTATTCACAGTTAATATACGTGCAAGTATCAGTACGATAAGGGATGGGATTCTTACGCCAGGCTGAGGCACAAATACGTCAACACACAGGCAATCTTCATCGAAAGACCCAGCCATGGTGATGTTTTCTCCCAGAGGTAAGGGGGGCTGAGGACAGCGGTTGCCCAGCTTGGTAGCCTGAAGCTCCCCGCTCCATGACTTGGCGACGGGAGGTTTGAAGCGCAGCGGACCAACGGGGGCCTCAGCGTACGGTATGCCGAGGTAGGCGTCCACGCTCCTGCGGAGCGCGGGATCGAAGGGGCTAAACTCGAGCCTCTTGCCTACGATGCGACCCTGGCTTGTGGTAACCACTGGATGGTCCTCACTTGCTGCCGATGCAGTGGAGAAAAACCAGACATCAAACGCATTTTAGATGCACCATTGATTAATTCCCCTTTATTTTAATCAGTGTTTTATGTGTCCAAACATTTAGCAAAATTATGTCATCCATCCAGACAGAAGGGGAAACAATACAAGGACAGATTAGCTGACGTCAAGAGTGTGACTTCCACAAGACATCTTCCTTGCTTGGTTGTTTGCCGACTTACCTTGTGGCATTTCTTTCTACATTTGTTTGTATGACATTATTTGAACAAAGTGCAAGCGACCACAGACGAATTCTAACATGGAATATCAAAGGTGAAGAGTTTTAAGTTAGGTCGTTTATGAATTTGACCGAAACAGGTTGGAAAATTTAAGGGCAACCGTACATATGTATATATATATATATATATTCATATGAAATAAGCCTGGCAGAGGTCAGATTTTTTAACAAGAGTAGAATTACAAACCACAACTGGAACAAATGTAAAAAAAAAAATAATAAAATCGAATTCTTCTCTCACCTTTCGTCCCTTCAAACAGGAAACTATAACCCAGCAGCACGAAGATGATAGTACACATGGCACACACTGAAGTTAGTCTCACATTGACCGATCACTCAGAGAGCATGCTCTTCTATATACTGAAACGCACCACTCCTCCACCCAATCTCCGTTACGGTTAACCACACATGCTCTAACCGACGATTGCTAATCTCAAGGTCTTCACATTACCATATAGGCCCCTATCTAATTTAACACTCCGGGATGAATATGAATTCACAATTATGCATGCACGCATGCGCATAAGTGGCCACGAAAGCAAAAGCTGGAGCGGCAAATTGCAATTACTCTTTTATTTTTGTTTTCGGGAAACAATGGAATGAAGTCGCAACTATCACATTTTGTTCTAAGAGGCTTTTTAGTGATGCAATGAAATAATGGATAACAAAACCACTACAGGGTTTATCAAAAAAGTACACAGTCAGAAAATTAACTGCAAAATAAAAATAGAGCTAGAGCATAGATCTCGGCAGTGATCCTTCCTCCAGGTCCACTGGTGGAGAAACAAAAACCTTGGACTTCAAATTTCCCCGAAGGAAAAAGTTCAATGGCGTCAGGTCGGGTGACCTCGGTGGCCATTCCACAGGCCGATGCAATGCAATCACACGGTTATCAAACAGTTCTGCCAGGCGCTCTGTAACCGTTCTCCTCCTGTGTGGTGGAGCACTATCCTCTGCCCACCAAGCCCTTTGAAACAATCCGTTTCTTTGGCGACGTTAACTAAGCATTTGATCAATGACTGGAACAATGTTGGCATTGATCATTTGTATGTCACCGTTCATGTCGTTGCGAAAGAAGAATGGACCAATAATGCTCCCGTTCTGAACCTTTGGTCTTCGTTGAGATTATGCCTAATCTGTTTGGCAAAAAAATAGTGACGCAACCCGGACAGACCTGACTTGAAAAAAACTTCGTCTGGACACCTGACTTACATACAACAATCAAAGTGGCTGGTTTATTCAGTGAATTCTCAAACCCGAGTTCAGCAGCCTGAACTCGGGTTTTCTGGCAGATCGAACCAGGATTCCGAGGATCTCTTATCAGCTACTGTAATGTAAGAAGCTGTATTAGGGACAATCTATGGGTCTTCGGCAACATGTCAACATGCCCACGCATGAGTTGGGTCACATATTGGACCTTGTCATTACTCGGCAAACAGAGATGGTTCTTGACAGTCTTCCAACACCACATCATCTCTTTTTAGATCACCTTTCTGTTCTGCGTTATTTGAAATATAAGAGACCTTCTTTTCCTGTCAAGGAGGTTATTTATAGAAACATCAAATCCATAAACATCGATTTGCTGGAAAGGTGATTTGGATTCTTCCAATATGTGTACGGACACTCCTCATGTGTCTTGAGGAGCTTGTTAAATGTTATGAAACTACACTACATGGGGTTTTTAACAAACATGCCCAACTGAAGACGAAGGCAGTTCCTGTCATGCCCCGCTTGCCTTGGTTTGATCAAGAAAACAGGTTGGCTTTGAAGCTGAGAAGGAGAACTGAAAGACAGTGGCGGCGAACCAACAACACTTGTGACCTTTTAGGTTACAAACAACATTATGGTCATTTCTGTCTTGAACAAGGCTCGTTGTGATTTTCACAAAGAATTCATTGATAATAATAGCTCTGATCAAGCGAAATTATTCAAGGCGTCAAAATCACTGCTTAGGCACTCTGTTACTGCTCCTCTTCCTCCATGTACTAATAAATTGACTTTGGCTAATGAGATGGGTAACTTCTTTGTGGAAAAGATATCAAATATTCATGCTAAAACTTGACAACTTAGTTTTTAATACACCTGTTAGAATATCTTACTTTACATCAGAAACATTATCTTGGGATTTATTGTTTGACCAATTTACATCCTTAACCGAGTTACAAGTAAGGCAGCTTTTCATGACATCTGCAAAGAAGTCTTGTGCCCTAGATCCAAGGCCCACCAGTTTGGTGGGTGAGTGCCTTGATGTTCTGCTTCCTGTATTTACTAAAATGATCAACCTATCTCTTGAGACTGGTTCATTTCCTGATGAACGGAAGGAAGCTTTGGTTTGCCCTTTGCTTAAAAAGGACAACCTGGACCCGATTTGTTGAGAGCTATAGGCCAACCAGTAACTTACAATTTATATCCAAACTAACTGAGAAAGCAGTGTATGGCCAACTGCACTCTCACATGTCCAAACATTGTCTGTTTCCGGTTCATCAATCATCTTACAGGAAACATTAAAGTACGGAGACAGCCCTTTTGAAGGTAAAAGATGATATATTGCTGAAGATGAACTCTCAGCATGTGACTTTACTTGTTCTTTTAGAACTCAGTGTAGCCTTCGATAAGTTTGATCTTGACATTTTGCTGGAACGTCTGCAAAATACCTCTCTGATGCGTCTAGGGTACCAGTGCTCGATGCTGGTGAGGTGGGCTTGGTCCCAGTTGATGAGGTGGTCTTCAGAGTGAGAATGCTTGACTATCACTGACTTCTCATACTCTCCCTTCCTGCCATGGGCTTGGTGTTCTTTGAGTCTGGTGGGGAGGTCCCTACCAGTCCTGCCAATATACACTTCGTTGCATTGGCAGGGGATTTTGTACGACCCTAGTCGGTGGTGCGGATCTTGTCAATCCTTGTGGGATGTCAGCATGCCGTGGATCTTGAGAGGGGCTGTACGGAATACCTTGATGTCATGCTTGCTCGGTATACACTGGATGTGGTGGGAAGTACAACCTTGGTAGGGGAGAGTAACAGAACCAGGGGCCTCATCTAGTTGGCTTTGGGTATAGGAGACCCTTCGGCCGGGGGGGGGCTTGGTCTTGGGTCTTGTGTCTTATCTGCTGGGGCGTATAGCCGTTGCGTTGAAGTGCTGTGAAGATGTGGTGCAGTTCTTCGGCGAGGTGTTCCTTGCAGCAGATGTTGCAGTCTCCTGACGACGGACTGAGCACGCAGTCCGAAAGTATACCCCCGGTTCTTTTCAGAACCACACATACTCCTAAGAGATAGGCCTACATTCCTTTGTATGGTGCTACCGCAAGCCTTTCCACCTACAGATGTTTTGGTGAGGCTCGTGTCAACTCAGAGTTTGCAATCTCAGAGTCAGCTTTCGACATAGTCACATGGGAAGAAAACCTGACGGTAGTGGAAGAGAACTATAAGACGCCAATTTGACTGCATGGCCAACCAAGTGTGTCGTTGGATCTAGAAAACATGAGTGTCTTGGGAATATTGTTTAACACGGTTTTCCCACGCCCGTATCAGAGATGATTGAAAAAATCCAAAATTAACCAAGACCCATCACACACAAAAGTAAAACAGTTCTTGGTCTCTGCGGTCACTACTGGCACGAGAGTAGTATATACGGCGTATAGTCTTGGCCGGATAATTTTTTATGCATAATATTACAAACATTTTTTCGCGTATGGTTTCCAAAATGTAAACCGTTGTGCCGTCTAACATACCGGAAGAACTGCAGGTTGTGTCTACAGCAGGAATCTAGAGTTGGCGCCAACCAGGAATCAACCAGCAATATCTTCTCAGATATCTGCATTCCCCTCATATTCCAAAGAGCAACTTAGCCTGTTACAGCAGAAAGATCAAACCATCCTAGAAGTTTGCCACGTACTTCCATGAGGGTAAAGGTTCTTCAAGGGCAGAGAGGAAACTTGAATCCTAACCGGTGCTGGACCTTGACCAAAGGGTAAATTGTGGAAACAAGATGGTGTATTATACATGGAGCCATCCACAATGGGGTTAAAGGTCAAACAAATTGTACGGCCAGCTTGCTTGAAGCCCGCGATATGGCCGTCGCTCCATGACAAAAGTGGTCATCAAGATGTTTAACGAACTTTTGCAATGATACAGAAGAGGTGCTACTGGCCGGGGTGTTTAGAGCAGTGATGTAGTCGAGTGCCAAACCTCGACTACCGAGTTTTCCGAGTACACAAAGTGCCGAGTACGGGCCGAGTACTTTTTAAACAAGTCCGGGGCCAAAAATCGGAGTACGAGTTTTTCGGAGTCCGAGTACGGGCTGAGTACGGGTACAAAGATAATTAGGTACATCCGAGTACATGGTTAGACTACAACATGGAAATTAACATTAATGTACACCAGCGATACTGCGAGTGCTGCCACGTGCCAACACCCCTTCACGAATAATCGATGTAGGGACGATAAAAAAACACTGCGTGACTTGTAACGTGTAGCTTACCACTATGTGAAATGTTTTGTCAAAGTTTAGCATTGAAAAATTAGTATTGAAAAAAAAACTCAATTTTGTTTCGAGTACTGCGCGACTGGGATCGAATCAACCGAGTACAATTTCTCGAGTTTAGGGACGAGCTCGAGTACAAAATTACGAGTACTTGCCGGGTACTTTTTTCGAGTACTTACGATCGAGTACGAGCCAAGTACTTATTGGTACTCGAGTTGTACCCGAATTCGAGTACCAGTACTTCATCATTGGTTTAGAGAAGTCAAAGAATGAAATGGATACAGCGATGTGAGAGGTGCGCCATTGCCAAACCTCCCTCTCCTAAACCAAGAAACACTCCAGGCCACCCAGTCGCATACCGACCTCTTGAAGCGATTGTCATCGACTTCGTGTACTTTTGTTGTTGGAGACGTTTGTAGTTGGAAACTTTGTGTACTTCAGGCAACATCACTCTAAGGTCGTCATAAGATTCAAGATATCTATTCGTATATAACAACTCTATCGAGTCATCGGCCAACCAGATCCCGATAAGCTTGTCTGTGCTTTTCAGTCCTTAGACGCTTCAGATTACAAGAACGTACACTACACTGAGCTGAAGTTGGCAAGAAGCAAAGTACCCATTTCAGGGAAGGTTCAACAGGATCAGGATACAGAAACCAATTTCAATGAAGCCAGTTCTGTTGAAGTGTTCGAGGAAGGTCACGGAGCTGTCCCCCAACATCGGAACCAACAACTCCTGGACACCCACAAGCTTCACAAATTACCTAGTCTAATTTGGAATCGGAGGCGGAAATCATGATGGTTCCTAATTGTTCTTTGTCGACAGCGCCACCAAATGCCACCGTCCCTGAACCACG